TAAAAAGGCAATCTATACGATAAGTACTCCCATGAGGTGCACTGTTTAATTATGTTCACCCTGCTACCTGGCTTTTTTTTTTTTTTTGTGGATCTTCAAAGCAACCACAGAGTATAAGTTTCCCCTCTTTTCCAGGATGTGATTCAACAGTTACTATGCAGATTTTACAAGGGCGTGACTGAGGCTTTAGTCTCCCACTGCTGTGGAAGACCTTCCTAGTCACTTCTTCCACGTGTGGAAAGGCACATGTGAACATATGCTGTCTGATGGCTGACTGAAAAGCTTATACTTTTTAGTGGCACTCCTCCTTTTCCCTTTAGCCCACTGTGCCTTTCACAAAGATGGAGGCATAGATGCATTCTTTAGAAAAGAGTTTAAGAACAGATCTAATAAATGAATGGTAAACTAGTATGGTAAGAGGTTATTCTTTGTTTATGTAAAAAGCCAGATTTTCTGAAGTCTCTGCTAAATGGTTGTATTCTGCTGTGAAGCTTGCTCAGAGATGCATTTTCTCCAGGACCTCTAGTTTCTTAGGTTGGAACAAAATTACGGGCTTTTCTTCTATTTCTGGTTACCAATTGCTCTGAATTAACAGACTGTGTGTACGAAGCCTCTGGTGCCTACCACACAGCTAAGCATTTCAGACTGAAGATAAAAGATAAATGGCAGGTAGGATTGTTGATTTTGTCCTCTAAATCATTTCCTGGTCTTCATATACACAAATATATAAAAAAAATAAGTATAGTATCTATCATAATGTAGTATACATTTACAGTAACAAAGTTTTTTTTTTTTTCTTTTATAAAAGCCTAGAGTATATTAGAGAACTGAGAGTGGTTTATGTTGAAAAACTGCTTCTGATGTAATCTCAGCTGAGATTGAAAGACTGTTTGTTGAAATATTAGTCATTAAAATCCTGTCTAGGATTATTGAAGGATGGATTATATTGAGCCCAGAGCTTCACTGCTAAAGGGAAAGGTTTTTTACGTGTCTTGGTTAAATCAAGTGTAATGTGGCAACTTCTCTATTATGAATGCTAAGTAACACAGCACCTTGCCACAAGGTATGTGGTTCAGTATTTTTTGTTATCTTCAGTCAACACAAATTCTGTGCAATTATAATGCTCATTTCCTGTAAAATAACAGATATATGAACAATGGACCTGGATTTTTGTTAGAATTAATTCATAAAGCACAAAAGCATTAATAACAGGGCAAGTGATAAAATTGCATCAGGTATAATAATTCTCCAGAACACAGAGCAATGACCAACTAATGCAAATAAGAAGGTTAGTTCTGCTATGGCAAGAGATCATTCCATGATGGTGTTTATTATACCTTTTTGGCAGATTCTGTATCATCTACTGTCATATTTTGTATGCCACTTCTCGTATTATGCCTGTGCTGCAATTGGCAGGCATATGACTCAGGAATGTGACACAAATGTGACACAGAGCAATACAATAAAGCTCAGCTTTGGCCCACCCCACCCCTAAAAGTTATCTAAAGTGGAACAAGAGGTGTTAACTGGCTTATTGCTGAGGCAGGGATCTGCAGAGTCCACATCTAATGTTCTTCAGAGCTTAAGCCAGGTTCCAAATACGCTATGGAATCAGTCTCTTCTCAAATGTCTCATATGTCCTCCCCTCTAGACCTGTCACCATCTTTGTGGCCCTCCTTTGGGCACTCTAATAGTTTTATCTTCTTCTGATACTGTGGCACCCAAACCTGCACACAGTGCTCGAGGTGAGGCCGCCAATCCCTTCCCTCGATCGGCAAGCAGTACTGTGCCTGATGCTCCCTGCTCAGGGTTAGGTTTTGCTATTATCAAGTGTGGTTGCCATTCTCAAGTTTGTTTTTTTTTGTATCAACCCTGCTCTTGGATTGTGCAATAAACAATCCTAACTCTTTAGGACTAAGCTGTTTCCAGAATGTAATATGTCTTAAAAGCTGGCTGTCATGTTCTTTTACAGTCAAATAAATTACTTGAAATGGGACTCCCAGGTGGTAAATATGAGTAGACTCAGAGTTTCATATATAACTCATTGTTACAAAGTGCAGTTGAAAAGTGACTCAGCGATTAGTTATTTATACTACTGAGTTTTAAAATGGTGTGTAGAAAAGGGGGGAAAAAAGCTGGTCATGCAATAGTTAGGCCATGTAAGAAAAGTCCTGAGTAGGAGGAAATTATGAATCCCCAGGGAAGGACCTCTGATGGCCAGTATTGAACTTAGACCCAAAGCCTTTGAATGTTTATTATACAGATAGAACAAATTCTGTCCAAAGTGAATGGTTTCTCTGCTGTGATTTGTGTTTCAAAGATGACCAGATAAGGGGAAAAAAAAGAAAATAAGTGACATAAGTCTTGGGACATTGTTTAGAATGGATGCCTGTAGATTCAAGAGATAATTACGACCAAAATTTATCTTGATGACTGGAAACCAAAGCAATATGTGGCACACTTCAAAGGGCTTTGAAAGAAATCCTATTGAAAGAACACCTTTTCATTTAGGCTTTGTAAACTGTGAGCCTAGAGCCACCTAGTGTTAAGGTGATACACATTAAGTATCTGCAGTAATAAAGTTCAGTGTGAACTGCACAGCATTATGACTTGTGTCAGTAAAGGGCTACCAAGCCAACCGCTTTCTTCCACATAATTGTTTATTGACTTTAATATTTATGTATGGTTTACAAAATTAGTAATTAATTTATGAGAGTTGTAACTGATCACATCCATCCTAGTTTTTAGGAGGGATTCGCTGATTTACTTTGGAGCTATTACCTCACATGTCAGCAATATTTCAGAGCGAAGACAGCTTCTATGTAAAGGAAAATTTAGGAAGCCTGTAATGCTGGGAAGCAGAAAAGGCTGAAGACAGAGAGGGAAAAAAAGGTTTTGTGAAAAGCCAAAAACCAGACAGTGAAGTAACAATTTGTCAGCAGGAAACTGGGAAGAATTGGGGCAGATTGTTGCCAGGAGGAAGTAAGTTACTGGTGATCCTCACAGACAACCAAGTGCTCACCTCTGAATGGTGAACTATATGGGTAGTTCCTGTTCTGTAACGAAAAACAGGTGAGGATAGCAGCCTAAGCAGGGCATCTGCAGAAATCCTATATTGTTACCCAATTAATCCTGTGGATACAACTAAGAAAGAAATGTTACCGAGTTGTCCAAACTGTAAGTTAGGACAAAGTTCATCACCCTTAATTTTTACTGTTCCCTCTACTGGGCCTAGAGGAGTCATTTTTAAGTTGTGTAAAACTTGTCATTATACAATGATCAGTCAGGTCTGTGGTAGCTGGTTCAAAGTATAGCTGCATGGTAACTTGCCAGAACGTGTAAGCTTGCTGCAGTGCAATTTCAGGCTTGTTTGAGATTTACGTTGGTTTCAGTGGGCACTAAAATATGAGATTGACTAGTTTAGAGGACTTTAGGTAGTTTCAGTCAGTAAGATAAAGAACTTACAGAGTTATAAAATATGTGCAGACCCAAAACATGGTTGCTTACTGAAAGCTCAATAGTTCAAGTTCAGCCAGAAGAATTGTATGGTCCTGTACATGGGGAGGAATAACTCCAGGCACCAGCACATGCTGGGGGCCACCCAGCTGGAAAGCAGCTCAGCCAAAAAGGACCTGAGGGTCCTGGTAGACACCAAGTTGAACATGAGCCAGCGGTATGTCCTTGCCGCTAAGAAGGCTGATGGTATTCTTGGCTTGGTTAGGAAGAAAATAACTAGCAGGTTGAGGGAGGTGATCCTTCCCCTCTGCCTAGCACTGGTGAGGCTACACCTGGAATACTGAGTCCAGTTCTGGGTCCCCCAGTACAACACAGACATCAACATACTGAAAAGAATCCAGTACAAGGCCACTAAGATGGCAAAGGGCCTGGAACTCCTCTCCCATGAGGAGAGGCTGAGAGAGCTGGGCCTGCTCAGCCTGGGGAAGAGGTGGCTCAGGGGGATCTCATCGTTGTCTATCAGTACCTGAGGAAATGGAGCCAGGCTCCTGTCAGTGGTGCCCAATGCTGGGACCAGAGGCAATAGGCAAAAACTGGAACACAAGGGTTTTCATCTGAGCATAGGAAGCACTTCTGTGCTCTGCTGGTGCCTGAGCACTGGTAAAGGTTGCCCAAAGAGGTTGTAGGTCTTAAGCTGCTTGGACATGGTCATGGGCAATCTTCTCTAGGTGTTCCTACTAGAGTAGGAAGGTTGGACCAGATGACCTCCAGAGGTCCCTTCCTACCTCAACTACTCTGTGATTCTGTGGACCTATTGAAGTATGGATGTAGTAGGGTGGGAAGCAAATATCTTTTAGGGCCAGCAACACTCATGTCAGTGATTCAGAGAAAAGACGGAGGACACATGCTTTAAAATGCTTAAAATTTATTAATCATCATTCCTTTTTTCATGAAGAACAAAAATAAAACAATATTCCAAAAACAAAATGGAAGAAGAAAATACACCACACCCAGATAACATGACTAATACTAAGAAATGGGGTAACATTAATTCTGAAATAAATGGCCCAATAAATCAATTTTCCAAAAACAAAATAAATAGCAATGGTACAACTTTTTAAAAGCTTCCTAGGAAAGAATTTACATATATTATTATTATTATTATTATTATTATCGTTTACAAAAATCCTTCATATGCCCCTGTTGGCAATATATATATATATATATATACTTCTTCTGTAAACAGTTAACCACAAACAAAAAAAAATTCCAAATTTTCATACAGTTAATATGCTGATGGTGTTATGTAAACAAAGAGTAGAATGCAGCAGCTTCTCATGACAGCCTTTCTGTCTTTCAGTCTTTCTTCCTTTCTTTCTGTCTGTCTTTCTTTCTTTCTCACAAACATAGATAGGGAAAATGCCCTATAAGTTGTTTATAATATTGAATTTTACAGTTTTGAGAAGGTATGGCTTTTTGCAAACTAAATTTTCTGTAATGCAAAAAAAGAAAAAGAAAGAAAAAGAGAGGTACAGTTTTCTTCCTTTTTTTTTTTTTTTTTATCTGTCTCAGTAAACTGGAATGAAGATGTTACAAAATAAGTCAGTCTACATCAATGGAAATCTTAGATATTGTCAAGCGGTTGCAGAATGCAATGACCAGCAAAACTTTTTTCCTATGCAGTAAAGTTTATTTTATGCCTACAAAGTTTATGTTAATTATGTCACCATAGGAAAGCATCAAGCCAGAAGAGAGTGTTGACTTTGTGTAAATGTAAGCTCTCAGTTTTACGGTGTAGTGCTTTCCAGAAGACATACACTTTAGCAACAAATGTCAAAATTATCTTATACTGTACCTCTCAAGATGTAAAAGAAAAGAAATGAAAACCAGTATGAGATACAATGGTGATGAAAACTGAAATAATTTAGACAGATATATTGAGCTTTTATGCAGAAAATATTACCTGTTTGTCCAAAATTTTAGCTGCTTTTGTTACTTTTTTTTTTTTTTCCCCAAAGGTTTGTTTTAGTCTATGTTCAACTCTTGTTTGGCTTCTCTTTAGTTCTAATTTTAGACATTCCCTTTTTCTTGAGAGGTCTTTGCCTCATATATTGCCTGTTTGCTGTTGTTGGTTGACAGTGTCTTGGGGAATGCACTCAGCACCCACGCAGCTGCATTGGTCCACGTAGGTGTATGAGTGATCAAGGTGGGTTCCATCACTGCATCTCAGAGTCACCTTTCTTATGCTAGTCTGGACTTCCTGACAACATGAGCATTTATGTTCCATCATGTTTGCCTCTTGAGAATATCTGATTTGAAAACCAACAGAAGAGAAAGATTCAGAAATTATGTGAGACATATCGATGCCCCTCTCACCCATTACTAAGTATAACCAATTGTTGTGTGTTTGCATGTGAGGATATGGCTTGATATTACTATTCTTAGAGGATTTTGGTGACATAGAAGTTGTTCCTCATTGTGAAAATGGATGAATCTAGCTCTTTATCCTAATCTAATGGAAAGTGTGTCAGAGGGTTGGAACTAGATGATCTTTAAATGTGCCTTCCAACCCAAACAGTTCTATGATTCTATGATTCATTAAGACACAGAAAAAGTGAATGAAATAATCCAGATCGTATATCAAGCCAGTCTAAAATGACAGACTAGTATGAAACAAATAACCTTACTTTTACATGGGCAAGATCAAAATCCAGGTCTGTTCACTATCACATTGAACAGACTGTTAAGACCTGGTGAGTCTTGAGGTAATAAAGCTAATATAGCATCGTGTCTGTTAAAAATGCTAGTTAGCACAATGGGATGGCTGGGTGGGTTTTGGACATACTAGAAAATAACTAGAAGTTTGCTTTATGTCACTATTGTAGCAAATAGAAGACAGGAGACTACAGTTGTCTGTTACACCACTTACCTTGAGTAAGCATCACAGCTGCCTTCACAGTATGTCATCTCAACAGGTGCAGGAGATACACATCCACGGTGCTTGATGACAGTAGTGGTGTTGTGCTTCTTACAACCTGTTTTCGCTACAAACCAAGAGAAAATATTTAAAAATATATGTCCATGTAGATAGATATCTGTATATGATAGGCAATTCTTAGTACAAAACTGAGATGGATGGAGCTGAAATAGAAAACTAGGTCACAATGCATTTCTCTTTTAATTGCTTATATCTAAATGATGGCTTTTTTTTTGCCTTTTTTTTTTCCCTTCCTTGTTTTAGGAACAAATAGAAAACTACTTTTCCCTTATGCAGCATTGGTACAGAATGTAGAAATCAAGAACAGTGCCGTGGCAACTGCTCAATGCACACCCACCTCCTGCGACCATCTTCACTTTCTTCCTTAAAGAGAATATATCTGTGGAAATTGGAGAATAGACAGAGTCCTCGCCATCTCATTAAGAGGCTCATATTTAACAGTAAGGGATGGGAAAGTTCTCCATATCCATGTTTTCAAATGCCCTAAAGTGTGTGCTGGAAACATTCTGTGCCTTACTATCTTTCTCACCCCAGTGCAAGACAGTTGTCCCACACCTGGTCTGTTCACCTCTTCTGTCTTTGTATATACTGTCTAAGTCGGACTAATACACCTAATAAGGCACATATGATGCTTTTACTCAAAATTATCATTACTTACCTGTTGAGCACTCTCTACAGCATCCATCATCCGATAGCTTGATGGTATTCTTGAGTGAGAAAACAGAGAAAGGTAACTTACATTTCATATCTGCATACTAATGCAGAGACTTCCCCTGCTTCTTAGGTTTCTCTAGTGCCAGAAAGTTCTTTGTATTGACATGAAATCTAATTTCAAGCAGGGCTCAATATTAAAGGCACATAACTACTACTACAACTGAATATTGAGTTGTTTGCAAGCAGACATTGGGGAGACTGTAATTACTTTGCTATCACCTGAATTCAGTAGTAAAATTTCAAAATAAAGCTTGTAGCACATGTAGGATATTTTGAAGGACCGAAGTCTGTGCAGATGAAGGATTATGTCAGACAGAGTAACACAGTTAATGAAATACTGAATCCCCAGATGTCTGGGGTTGGTTCTGATCTACCCCGACCTGTATTAAATTGACTAATGTGAACTGAAATAGCTTGTTTTCTTTTGCCTTTGCTATCAATGGCTGAATTAAAAAAATTTAGGAAAAAAAATCCCATTATTTTCTGTTAAGATTCTTGCTCCTAGTCACCTGGCACTTTTAGGAATCCAAAGCATTACACTGTGATCCTTTTGCTTCAGTGAGGATATATGGACCTTTTGAATATCAATTTGCTCTTTGGAAGTGAAATTTGATGGGAACAAGATTCACAGAGGATAAAATTGTGATGCTTCTTCTAGGTATTTTCATTGGACATCATGATCCTGCTATCACTGGTGTTAACCACTGCAATCTTTTCAAACAAACATGAGAATAGGTAGAAGAGTGCTTACTGGCTCACAGTCATCAGGGTTAAAGTAGGGACAGGTTTTCTTTACGACGACTGTAATGAACTGTCCGTTGTGTTTTTCACATGTGTAGGCTGTACAGTTATTACCAGGCTGATGCCAGTATTCTCCAATCTGAAAGTAATTAAATTAGATATAGGTGAATAAAGCTCTTCTTGCATAAAAATGAAACGACCCGCCCCTCCCAAACAACCAGTGTTCTGTCATTGCAGTGTATTGCAATGTGATTATTCTGAATAATGTCCTTGAATTGCAGCTGGCAGTTACTTGTTATATTATCATACTGCCGTAAGTCTTCTTCATTAACCAAGTAAAAATCCATATTTTTATCTGGATATGGTAATGTTTTTTTTGTATACATGGGAAAAGTATGTGGACTCATCTGGAAAGACTAATTTGTATTGTGAGAATTTATGGCATGACATGCAGATACATGGCAGAATTTCTGCTGTTTTCATTGACTTACTGTGTCCCAAAGCTCTTAGCTACCTCGAGACTTGCTGTTTGGAGCAGAAACTTCCTCCACAGACAGAAAAACAAAATTATGCTTTGAGCAAAATCTGTGTTGCCTTTTCAGAGCTGAAGGCAAATAAGGTAACACATTGCTTTCACATATATATATTTGTAATATATTTTTTTTGATTTTGAGTTCTGAAAGCCGGTGTTCAGTGTCACAGTTGCTTCCAGAAGCCTCAGCCTCATGGCTCAAGATGCTGTTCAAGCCACGTGAGACAGTTCATCCCATTTGAATAAGCATTAGTCTAACATGAGAAAAGACATGGGAAGTGAATGTAATAGAGACAAGAATGAAAAGGCTAATAGTTCACCAAAAGTGAACTGAAACAGGGTTAGTTACCTTAAGCACATGTGTAGTGTTGTCTTCTGTGATCACTATACAGGCCACTGCCTTGCATGTGCCACAGCACTTTCCAGGTTCCACTGCATACTTATATCCCTGGTTTAAAAGAAAGAGAGAGGAAATGCCATTGAGCCAGGACTGTGTTTGCAGCTACTTGAACTGAGGGAGGTAGGAATTACTGACTGCAAAATAGTACTCACCATTGGGCAGTAGGTGTCACAGATAACAGGCTGGCACTTGACAGCAACTTGCTGAAGGCTTGAGTAAGAGGATTCAGAGCAGGTGCAGGTTTCACAGGGGCCTGATGGTATCACAGCTCCAGGCTGGGGAAAAGTCAGAAGAGAAATCATTATTAATGAAAGAAAGCTGCTGTATGTACATCACAGACCAAAGCTGATCTGTGCATGTGGGCTAAACTATCCTTAAATATATTTGTTTTAATTTACAATTTTGTTTGTTTAATTTAAGCAGAGTTTCTGTTGTAATATCTATGCTTCTCATTTTCAAAGTAAATTCTACTAATGTATAAAGTAGAGCAGAAAATGTTCTTGCTTGTAGGAAGGGTGTTGATATGCTGGCCTCAATTAATAATGTTTTATCTCAGGCCTTTCTGCCAAATGTGGTCTATGATAGTGATCTCAGAAATGTTGCATTGTGAACCTATGTAAAGTTGTATTTTATTGAGTTACTCTTTGTACTTACTGCATAGTAGGTTTCATTGACTACACAGCCATGTCCTGGAAAGAAGGAAGAAAGAGCGTCATAGAGGTACAAAATTTAAGAAGCAGAAGTATATGAAGAAACTCCTGCTTTGTTGGCCCAATATAATAACGCTGATAACTTGCATCTTTCTCTTTTAAGTTTTTTGTATTCATAGCTCTTAGTAACACATTGAAAAAAGTGCATGGTACTTACTGCATTCAAAGGTAGGACAGCATTTTCCAGGCTGTGTTACTGTGATTATTTCCTGTCCCTCTAAGCACTGGTGTGTGGCCTCAGGGCAGAGGCTGGTATTACAGTCTGTATAATGTAAAAAAGATAGAAAGTAGTGAACTCACAATTTTCATACAAAAGCAAGTTTAGCAAGTTTGTTTTTTATGAACTTCAGAAGTTTTTCAGTGAGGCAGATATAATGTTGTAGATAAAAAAAATTACACAAACTAGTTTAATGCCTATTTCAGTATATTTGCCCAGCTATTTTTAAAGTGAACGGGCTTTTCTATAACCTTTACAAAACAAAGCATTCACTGAGGAGAATAGAGCGGTGATTGCTGGAAAGACATTTCTAAAGAGAAATCTGTACTGACTGGAAAATCTGATGGCTCTCCAGAGGCTCTTGAACAATTTTTAAAAATTCAAGAGATCTTTTAAGGTAAGATAAACAGTTTATGCTGGTCTTTGAAAAAGAAGAGGTTTTGAATAGCTTTTGGATATTGTTTCAGGTGGTAGAAGCATTAAAGGTTTTCTTTTTTCCTTCCAAAAGTCAAATTGCAGATTTACAGTTACTTTCCTGTGTCTGTCTAGGTAAAATCTATTCATCTTTATTTTTGTTCTCTTCCAGTTTCTAGTAAACACATTGCAAGAAAACCTTAAGAAAGCATAATGAGATTAATGCAAAGTATATGAAAAAGAAAAATTACTGCTGTAGTTCCCTGAAATGAATATAGTATATTTCCCATTATAAAGAACTGAAACAGTACTTACAGCACTCAGTCCTGGTACAGCATGGATCTTCTGGTATCTGTACCTGAACAGGAACGTATCCTGGTTCATAACAAGTTTTTTGCTGAGGCATAGAGCATACATGTTTTGTACACTGCACTCTGAGAGTGTGTCTGTCACAGACACATTCCTGGCAATTTGTTGTCCATTTTTCTCCTGGCTGTATGAAAAAAAATACATATGTAAGTTCAAAACAAAATCAACTTATTTGTTTCTAGTTGTCTTAGTCATGGATATAATGATACCTAATAACATCATCTTTTTCATGGTTCTAGTATTTTGATAAGAAACCCTCAAACTGAATCTAATTAAGAGAAGATTTTGGAGGCCACTAGGGTTCTCAGCATGTTCTCATGTTCATACAGCTTACAATTTCTATTTACTAGTAGTGTTAGTCCGAGGGATACAGGGATCTAAACTAGAAGGAATTGAACTCTGCATGTGTTTTTGAATAAGAAACTATCATATGAGATACTCATTTACACATTAGATTACAGAGATAAATTTCTGTAATTTGTATGCAGTTGAGGAGCTAAGAATGCAGACCGTCAGCATTATCAGCAACAGGTAAAGTTTGTTACCCATCTGCAACTTTGTCTCTAGTTACTTTAATAGACCAAATTTGAGGAAATAAAAGAAGCAGATGGCGAAAGTTCCACTAACAACATCTGTCTGTTTTCTCTTTTTTGTGAGATGATGGTTATTGAAAGACTATTCCATTATTTGCTGTTGAATTTCTTAGGAAGTAATGTGGTTTCTGCTTTCACACTCAGAGTTGTTTTTTTTTTTTTAAGATTGAAGGGGAACAAATGTTTGAAAAAAAAATGAAAGCCTCTCCAAACTTAAACATAACTTTGTTCCTGTGAAACCTGAAAAGTCCTCTTGCTTCACCTCTCTGTACTTAATAAATCAAGTTGATTGTGATACTCACCTCTCTGTATACTCCATTTGGTTCCCTACAAGCTGGAAAAAAAAATAGGAATGGAGATTTATACTACTGAAAACTGACAAAATGAATAAGTTTATGCAGTTCCAAATAGAAACATTATGAAGATAAATAAAACAAGAAAATGAATATGCAGGCTAGTTCTTATGCGATATAAAGGACAGAATTCTTCCATCTTGCCAAGTCTTGTGTAAGTAAAGAAGATGGAGAAAAGGTGGTATTGTTTATTATTCTGTTTTTAGATGGGAGTTTAGAGGAGCTTATATAAATGGAATTGCCCATGGACTGACCATGTAAAAGATGGCAGTAGAACTCAGGCCTCATAACCACTAATCCAGACCTCTATTTATTCCCCAAACTAGTTACAGAGTACTTACAACATTCAGAAACACAGATGCTGCTGTGTTCACTCAGGAGTGTTGTTCCTTCAGGACAGAAGCATCCTTCAGTTACTCCATAGCCAGGATGGTCCACAGAGCTAGGGTGGGAGGAATGTATACATTTGAATACCATGTTTTTTTTTACTAAAGCTGGAGAGAGAAAGAGGCATGTACAGAAGGTTGCCATGCCAGATAAAAAGGAGACAAAAGGATTTATGTTTTCAAAAGTGTAACAGCAAGTGCATTTTCATAGAGCTGACTGATACATATAAATCTCGAATGAAGTATGCAAATTCATGAGATGTAATTATGAAATAGTTCAACTTAGTAAGGGAAATAGGTAGGTAACAATAGAAAAAAGACAAAGAGAAGCAGTTGGTTTTTTTGATATTTCCATACCTTTGCTCACAGGTAGCAGGATTAATGGACCCACATGGCTTGTATTCCATGTTTGCTGGACAATTGTATGCTATATGGGAAAAAAGGACAAAAGATTAAAAATTGAAAGGGGATCTAATGGTAGATAGTAGGTAAAAAATTGATAGTAGATCATCTTGCAGCCAAAGTGATTCTGGCATTGCTGCCTTTTGTCAATTATGAATTTTTGTAGGTAAAATATGATAGTCAATTGTAAGATGCACGATGTGCTTACTGAATAAAACACTTTTTATTCAGTAAGCCACAGTAACCACATATTACTGGTTTACACACAGATTTTTGAGTTCTGCAATACTTACGGCAGGTGTTGTTTGTCTTTCCTCTCCAGTCAATGCAGACACCTCTAGAAGCACACTCCGTAGCATACATCTCCAGACTGGAACACTGCATGGATTCTACAGTTATGCGACACCCATCAAAAACGCATCCTTTGAAAAATGGTTCTGGGGGTATCACATCATGGCATTCTGCAAAAACTCTGCAGAGAGAAAAGAAAGCAAAAGCCTTTAATGCTAACAAGTCATTATATACAAACAGTTAAGTGTAAAAATGGCCTCTAATGTGGGAGATAGACTCAGGAAGGGAAAGTCTAGGAAGCTGGAATCTCTACTTTTTTGTAAAGAGGCTAATAGTTATTGTGTGTATGTAAGTGTACATAACTTCATCAGCCTGACATCAGAAATTTCATGAAGAAGGCAAATGCATCAGATAGGTGATAAAAGGATGCTAAAAGTATCCAAGAGATAGAAAAATTGCACATAGAATAGCTTATAACTTATTAGACACTACGGTGAGTGTGCAGACAATGGCCTTTATAAATGACACCGTTGAAAAAACACTTTTGCCAGAGCTCACAGAAGCATAGGAAATACTGCAGGAAACAGACCTTTGTTCATGTTGGATCTCTATATTGCACCTAGCATATACAAAGAATGAAAGACACTTTGGCTGAGATGTTTCTACCTGCTTTGTTACCCTTGTTGGTATCCAAGTTCTTTACCTTTTCAACTAATGGCTCACTTCAATTTTAAAGTTCAGTGCTTACTTTAATAGTGAGACTAAGAGTGAGTAAACATACTCTGGAAAGCAGAGGGAGAAATGCTTATGATAGCAACCAAGGAATTAAGAACTTCAGTGCTGGCTGTCTCCCTCATTTTCTGATTTTACCTCGCCTTACTCAGCTATCTTTGGGTGTATGTCCTTAAAGGAGAGGAGTTTTTTTTTCAGAGGCCCTTTACTATATATTTCCTGACATTAGGCTGAGGTTTTCAGCTATAATTACATGGTAGGGTTACATTTCTTACACATTTCATAGGATACTGAGACATTTCTGTCTGGAAAGAGCAAATTCATTCTTTTTTTTTTTCCTTTTTTTTTTTTTTTTTCTTACTTGCTCAGGATAATCTTGCAGAGTTCAGGAACTTTACACTGAGGCCTTGGTGGAGGTGTGGTTACGTGTGATGGTGGTGGTACTCCATGGCACGATGTGTTGTTACCAACAAGCCAGTGATGAGCCATTTGGGGACAGGAAGAAATGATCTTACCACTTGGCAAGCGGCATTCATCTGCTTTGTTATTTGTACATGTTCCTGGAAGATATCAGAGACAAGCTATATAAGCCTCATTCTCCACGTCTGCAATATATGGTGATGATGAACTACATTACCACACATTATTGTGTTGATGTCAAGTTTAGGTGTGATGTGCTCATGAAATGTGTAAGGTGTCTTCCTTCACAAGGACTGCTTTCTTTATAGTGATATGAATTTCAATTTAGTTAACAAACCCCAAATAAAAAAACAGGTTGCTGAAATAATAAACTTTTGGTCTTACAGAAGATGAAGACCAGAAATGTTCTTGATTCTATTTTACTACTGTTCAAAATATTTCTGTCTGTCATGATCCTTCATAGCCAGAGTGGGTGAGATTAACTATGAGAAGGTGGGGAAAATACTGTTAATACATCTATCTTACCACATTGTCCTTCAGTATTGTTGCCAAATTTGCTGTATGGAAGTTTCACGGAGAAAATCAGGCCACTAAAGGTGATGGTTGCACCAATTTCTGGTATTTCAACAATCATATTGATGCCAAGTGTGGAGAAATAAATGCCATCCTTTTTAAAGCCTGGTTGGACAATCTTTTTGTTGAAATACATCTGAATGCAGAGTTAAAAAAACAAACAAACACAGTTTCAGAATAAGCACTGCTTCTGTCTGTTTTCAATAACGCATTTTGTAATCTTCATAATCATGCTTAACTCAGTATTGTTGCACATCATATCCAATCTGTTGCATTTCAGTAACAACATATAATGCATTAATTTCTCAGCTTCTATTGCTACGTTGCTATAGTGTGACAAAATAACCTAAGTGGCTTCTAAGTACCGTGTTAGTGCAGGTTGTGTGCTAATGTACAGCATTCTAAACTCAAGTATTTTGTTTGTATCCCTCACAATTTTGTTTAATGTAAATATTCTTCATTTAAAAAATGGTAGTTTTCTTTAGCTACAGAAATATTCCTGCCATTATTGTGTAATAACTTTGCTGCAAAATCACACCATCCTTAAACTAAATGTTGTGTGACTTTAGAAGAGTTGTATGAACTCAAAATGAAGTCAAATGTCCCTATTGCCAATTTTACTTAGTGATCATGTTTATTCTTTAATCTAAGCATTTGTAGTCTGTGTTTTATAAGAGGTGGACATGCTCATTTAATAACTTTTTGTCAGGAGTTATTCTGCAACTTTTTTATAATTGAATTGAAATAAAGTCAGGGTTAGAACAGTCAGTTACTGTTCTCTTTCACAGGGAACGACTGGACCGATTATTTCAGCATGACTTTCTGGTTGTAAGTAAGGAGAAGTTTGCCTGGCTCAGAAGATGGAGAGTGCATATTAAGACAAACTAATCATCTCACCTCTTTCTGTTCTCCAACCACCTAATAAAGTCCCAGTGTAACACTGGGACTGACTTCTGTTTTTCATTGGCTGCCAACACTGAGTTAGGATCCTAAAATGAAGTGACACCCCTGCTCACCCCTCTTCTTCAGCTATACCACTCTTCCCAGCAAGGGATCAGAGAAGGATTCATGTTATAGCTTTGTTTAGTGCCTGAAGTTCTCCATGCAAAGGAGGCAATTCCTAGTCAGCCAGCCACTATGGGATACACACCAGTCTGACCATGAGAGAAAAATGATGCTTTCAATTTCCATTTGTGTTTCTTCATAATGTGTTTGCTTACAGAAGTGAATGGCACAGTGCATTAGTTTTTATGAAACATGGATCAAGTAGCAGTGTAAGCATTATTTTTGTCTTCAGCTGTATTAATCTGTTTCCTAGTGTCATTTATATACATGCAAATACACATATAATGTATTTACCTGCGTAGTGCTAAGCTTCTTGTGACACTAAGTTTGAAGAAATTACTATAATCATTTTTTTAACTAATGATTTCCTCTGCCCTTGTCACCTCTGTGATTTGATACTCTTAACAGGCTATATTTCAAATGAAAATCAGTAAGGCCTATGGACCTTATTTCTCTTTTTTCAATAATATAGTAATAATTAAAAAAATATTTTACCACATTCGTCATCACACCATTCATGAGTTCACGGGTCAGCACCACTTTTGCAGATTTGTAGTAAATAATAATCGATTTAGGACAGGAAAGTCCATCTTTTGAATCGCAGTAATAATTGTCAATGTAAACACGGAAGTTGTCGTATTTAGGTACAATCTGTTTCACCAGGACATAAGTGCAGTTTTCAAGGAAAGTGTAATAGGTTCCATCAAAAGTAATGTAATGAGGATCACCCCATCCACTGCACACACCTGGTAGAGAGAAAATATTTAGAGGATTAACATGAAAGTTAATGTAGAAGAAAGAATTTAGGGAATGAAGTGAATATACTACAATTTCAAGAGCAAACTTAGGAAAACAAACTCCCTATATATTCTGTGCAAAGTTTTGCTTATTTCCAAAAATGTAATTCCTTAATCTACTGGTACTTACATTGACACTCATAGTGGTAACAGCAGTAATTTTCATCAGGTACCAGTATTGGTGGATATTTGTTTGCACAGGTAATTTCCTTTACTGGTTTACAGGTTTGTTGAAGTACTTTTATTTTGTTGTCTCCCTCACAGATGATTTCTGTACAGTTGGATAATTTGTGTCTCTGGCCAGGCTGCAAAATAAACAAGAATTGCTATCACAGGAATTTGCAAACAGGTATGAATTTTATTCATATTTTTAGTTCAATTGTGTACTGTTTCAAGTGACAGTGTTGTTGGAAAGCAAATGAATATATAAGTTCCTTCTTTTGAATTTGTGGTACTAATGATTTAAGATGTTGACCAGAGGTATTCACTCTTCTGACCATGGTATGGAGAATCGGAAATTGTTTTGCTTTCCAAATCTGGAACAAGAACTAAAATGAAAATCTTCGCTGGCAGTAGAAGGTTTACAGTGTTCTACGCAATTCAATTTTTTTATACTAGAAGGATGTAAAGCCTTAATTCCATCTATTCATTCTGCGTTAGGAGCTCTTCTGAGAGTTTGTGAGATGGGTTTTGAGTTAAGGGAACTGATATCCTTTGTACTGGATAAGTATACATGTATATGCATACTGTACTTCACTATCAGCACAGACAATCACCATTAAAAAAAAAAAAAAAGTACTGGGAAGAGGATAGGAGAACAGAAACAGTTACAAGTTTCCATGGTAGCTTAGATTTTTCCATTTAATCAAGAGGGAAAATACATAAGAAAATTTGCTCTTTTATTTCACTAGGAAGGTTTGTTACTTATGCAATGCAGTGCATCAAAAAGCACATTTTGCTATCACTGAAATTATAAGAAAAAAAGTGCATTTTCCTTAGTTTGCAAAATATATATATATATATATAAAGTACACACATTAAAATGTTATGTTGTACGTTGTCCATCACTAGCAATGTTTATTCTGACAATCTGGATGTGTAAATTTTAAAGACTGCTGACATTTTTTTTCTGGTATCAAACTACCACCAATGTTATTTCAGCCATCATAATAAAATAGGAACTACATACCTGTAGTGGAGGGTAAGTACTAGAAACACAACCTGAAGGAGGAGATGGAGTTGATGTTGTTACAGTAGGTGTCTGAGGGGAAGTAGTGGTTACAGGAGTAGTAACATTACAAGGTCCGGTGTATCGTTCAACTGAACATGCTTGACTGCAAATGGCATAAAACCTACATCCATCACTGTCCATTCTGTTGTAAATCACATCACCTGAAGAAAGAAAGAAAATGCAGTCAGGAAGAGACAGCAAATAATAATAATAAAAAAAAATTAACCAGACATTAGATATCCAGGTGTCCTGGTTTCATCTGGGACAGAGTTAATATTTTTCATAGCAGCTGGTATGGTGCAGTATTTTGTATTTACGATGAAAATAATGGTGATAAAACACTGATGTTTTAGTTGTGGCTGAGCAGTGCTGACACCAACTATAGGACTTTGCAGCTTCTCAGGCTGCCCTGCCAACGAAGAGGCTAGGAGTGTAAAAGAAGATGAGAGTGGACACCACATGGCATCATGGTGTACAATAAAACGGGAAGAGTAGGACAGGGGGTGTATATTAATGGGGAATGGGATGAGAATTGTCCTAATGGTGCCGAGCAGTTCAACTGTGCAAATGTTTTTCTGTTTAATCTTTCCCTCATGATGAATTTTTTTCTTGTTTTTCTTTCATAAAGGCATATAAATATGAAGATGTAAAATGAGAAGAAAATAAAAAATACAGTAATAAATGAAGGAAATACATAAAAGGAAAACAAGTTAAAAAAAAAAAAAAGAGAAAATTTACCAGGTGAATAAATGTCATCTCCAATTTTGCAGAAACATGGTGTAGACGTAGGAAAAGAAGTAGTGTAACTTGTGGTCTCTGATGTTGTACGGATGGTTGAAGCAGGTGGGGGATGACGTAGTGGACTGTAGGCAGTTGTAGTTCGGGGTGCAGCAGAGGACGCGGATCTTGTAGTTGAAGCACATCTTGAATTTACCTGGCTGGTCTTCGTTCTTGCACACCAGTCCAAAGTGGACGTCGCACTGTACAACCTGGCCGACGTTTTCGATGGAAATCTCGGGGTAGTCCTCCGCCTGGCACTGGATTTGTTTGGGGTGTTGACAGACTTCCTTCCCAGCGGCCCGGATGTGCTGGTAGGTTTCAAAGTCTCCCTGGTTAGGTCCCGAGGCAGGGAAGTCAACATCGAACCATTCTGACCAGGAGCAGAATTCAGGTTGACAGATGGTAGTGGATTCAGTGCTGTAAGTCGTGCTGGTTGAGGGGATGACAGTAGGGGTCGGCGTGAAGGTGGTGGTGCTGGTGGAGCTTAGTGGTGTTGACTGTGATGAGGTTGGCGCTGTGGTGGAGGAGTAGCTAGTAGAGGTGGAGGTGGTGACCGTGGTGGGTGATGTGACGGTGCTTGGGATGGTGGTGCTGGTGGGGCTGGTGGTAGGTGTGGTGGTGACTGGGCAGTTGTAGTTCGGGGTGCAGCAGAGGACACGGATCTTGTAGTTGAAGCACATCTTGAATTTACCTGGCTGGTCTTCGTTCTTGCACACCAGTCCAAAGTGGACGTCGCACTGTACAACCTGGCCGACGTTTTCGATGGAAATCTCGGGGTAGTCCTCCGCCTGGCACTGGATTTGTTTGGGGTGTTGACAGACTTCCTTCCCAGCGGCCCGGATGTGCTGGTAGGTTTCAAAGTCTCCCTGGTTAGGTCCCGAGGCAGGGAAGTCAACATCGAACCATTCTGACCAGGAGCAGAATTCAGGTTGACAGATGGTAGTGGATTCAGTGCTGTAAGTCGTGCTGGTTGAGGGGATGACAGTAGGGGTCGGCGTGAAGGTGGTGGTGCTGGTGGAGCTTAGTGGTGTTGACTGTGATGAGGTTGGCGCTGTGGTGGAGGAGTAGCTAGTAGAGGTGGAGGTGGTGACCGTGGTGGGTGATGTGACGGTGCTTGGGATGGTGGTGCTGGTGGGGCTGGTGGTAGGTGTGGTGGTGACTGGGCAGTTGTAGTTCGGGGTGCAGCAGAGGACACGGATCTTGTAGTTGAAGCACATCTTGAATTTACCTGGCTGGTCTTCGTTCTTGCACACCAGTCCAAAGTGGACGTCGCACTGTACAACCTGGCCGACGTTTTCGATGGAAATCTCGGGGTAGTCCTCCGCCTGGCACTGGATTTGTTTGGGGTGTTGACAGACTTCCTTCCCAGCGGCCCGGATGTGCTGGTAGGTTTCAAAGTCTCCCTGGTTAGGTCCCGAGGCAGGGAAGTCAACATCGAACCATTCTGACCAGGAGCAGAATTCAGGTTGACAGATGGTAGTGGATTCAGTGCTGTAAGTCGTGCTGGTTGAGGGGATGACAGTAGGGGTCGGCGTGAAGGTGGTGGTGCTGGTGGAGCTTAGTGGTGTTGACTGTGATGAGGTTGGCGCTGTGGTGGAGGAGTAGCTAGTAGAGGTGGAGGTGGTGACCGTGGTGGGTGATGTGACGGTGCTTGGGATGGTGGTGCTGGTGGGGCTGGTGGTAGGTGTGGTGGTGACTGGGCAGTTGTAGTTCGGGGTGCAGCAGAGGACACGGATCTTGTAGTTGAAGCACATCTTGAATTTACCTGGCTGGTCTTCGTTCTTGCACACCAGTCCAAAGTGGACGTCGCACTGTACAACCTGGCCGACGTTTTCGATGGAAATCTCGGGGTAGTCCTCCGCCTGGCACTGGATTTGTTTGGGGTGTTGACAGACTTCCTTCCCAGCGGCCCGGATGTGCTGGTAGGTTTCAAAGTCTCCCTGGTTAGGTCCCGAGGCAGGGAAGTCAACATCGAACCATTCTGACCAGGAGCAGAATTCAGGTTGACAGATGGTAGTGGATTCAGTGCTGTAAGTCGTGCTGGTTGAGGGGATGACAGTAGGGGTCGGCGTGAAGGTGGTGGTGCTGGTGGAGCTTAGTGGTGTTGACTGTGATGAGGTTGGCGCTGTGGTGGAGGAGTAGCTAGTAGAGGTGGAGGTGGTGACCGTGGTGGGTGATGTGACGGTGCTTGGGATGGTGGTGCTGGTGGGGCTGGTGGTAGGTGTGGTGGTGACTGGGCAGTTGTAGTTCGGGGTGCAGCAGAGGACGCGGATCTTGTAGTTGAAGCACATCTTGAATTTACCTGGCTGGTCTTCGTTCTTGCACACCAGTCCAAAGTGGACGTCGCACTGTACAACCTGGCCGACGTTTTCGATGGAAATCTCGGGGTAGTCCTCCGCCTGGCACTGGATTTGTTTGGGGTGTTGACAGACTTCCTTCCCAGCGGCCCGGATGTGCTGGTAGGTTTCGAAAGTCTCCCTGGTTAGGTCCCGAGGCAGGGAAGTCAACATCGAACCATTCTGACCAGGAGCAGAATTCAGGTTGACAGACTGGTAGTGGATTCAGTGCTGTAAGTCGTGCTGGTTGAGGGGATGACAGTAGGGGTCGGCGTGAAGGTGGTGGTGCTGGTGGAGCTTAGTGGTGTTGACTGTGATGAGGTTGGCGCTGTGGTGGAGGAGTAGCTAGTAGAGGTGGAGGTGGTGACCGTGGTGGGTGATGTGACGGTGCTTGGGATGGTGGTGCTGGTGGGGCTGGTGGTAGGTGTGGTGGTGACTGGGCAGTTGTAGTTCGGGGTGCAGCAGAGGACGCGGATCTTGTAGTTGAGGCACATCTTGAATCTGCCGGGCTGGTCTTCGTTCTTGCACACCAGTCCAAAGTGGACGTCGCACTGTACAACCTGGCCGACGTTTTCGATGGAAATCTCGGGGTAGTCCTCCGCCTGGCACTGGATTTGTTTGGGGTGTTGACAGACTTCCTTCCCAGCGGCCCGGATGTGCTGGTAGGTTTCAAAGTCTCCCTGGTTAGGTCCCGAGGCAGGGAAGTCAACATCGAACCATTCTGACCAGGAGCAGAATTCAGGTTGACAGATGGTAGTGGATTCAGTGCTGTAAGTCGTGCTGGTTGAGGGGATGACAGTAGGGGTCGGCGTGAAGGTGGTGGTGCTGGTGGAGCTTAGTGGTGTTGACTGTGATGAGGTTGGCGCTGTGGTGGAGGAGTAGCTAGTAGAGGTGGAGGTGGTGACCGTGGTGGGTGATGTGACGGTGCTTGGGATGGTGGTGCTGGTGGGGCTGGTGGTAGGTGTGGTGGTGACTGGGCAGTTGTAGTTCGGGGTGCAGCAGAGGACGCGGATCTTGTAGTTGAGGCACATCTTGAATCTGCCGGGCTGGTCTTCGTTCTTGCACACCAGTCCAAAGTGGACGTCGCACTGTACAACCTGGCCGACGTTTTCGATGGAAATCTCGGGGTAGTCCTCCGCCTGGCACTGGATTTGTTTGGGGTGTTGACAGACTTCCTTCCCAGCGGCCCGGATGTGCTGGTAGGTTTCAAAGTCTCCCTGGTTAGGTCCCGAGGCAGGGAAGTCAACATCGAACCATTCTGACCAGGAGCAGAATTCAGGTTGACAGATGGTAGTGGATTCAGTGCTGTAAGTCGTGCTGGTTGAGGGGATGACAGTAGGGGTCGTCGTGAAGGTGGTGGTGCTGGTGGAGCTTAGTGGTGTTGACTGTGATGAGGTTGGCGCTGTGGTGGAGGAGTAGCTAGTAGAGGTGGAGGTGGTGACCGTGGTGGGTGATGTGACGGTGCTTGGGATGGTGGTGCTGGTGGGGCTGGTGGTAGGTGTGGTGGTGACTGGGCAGTTGTAGTTCGGGGTGCAGCAGAGGACGCGGATCTTGTAGTTGAAGCACATCTTGAATCTGCCGGGCTGGTCTTCGTTCTTGCACACCAGTCCAAAGTGGACGTCGCACTGTACAACCTGGCCGACGTTTTCGATGGAAATCTCGGGGTAGTCCTCCGCCTGGCACTGGATTTGTTTGGGGTGTTGACAGACTTCCTTCCCAGCGGCCCGGATGTGCTGGTAGGTTTCAAAGTCTCCCTGGTTAGGTCCCGAGGCAGGGAAGTCAACATCGAACCATTCTGACCAGGAGCAGAATTCAGGTTGACAGATGGTAGTGGATTCAGTGCTGTAAGTCGTGCTGGTTGAGGGGATGACAGTAGGGGTCGGCGTGAAGGTGGTGGTGCTGGTGGAGCTTAGTGGTGTTGACTGTGATGAGGTTGGCGCTGTGGTGGAGGAGTAGCTAGTAGAGGTGGAGGTGGTGACCGTGGTGGGTGATGTGACGGTGCTTGGGATGGTGGTGCTGGTGGGGCTGGTGGTAGGTGTGGTGGTGACTGGGCAGTTGTAGTTCGGGGTGCAGCAGAGGACGCGGATCTTGTAGTTGAGGCACATCTTGAATCTGCCGGGCTGGTCTTCGTTCTTGCACACCAGTCCAAAGTGGACGTCGCACTGTACAACCTGGCCGACGTTTTCGATGGAAATCTCGGGGTAGTCCTCCGCCTGGCACTGGATTTGTTTGGGGTGTTGACAGACTTCCTTCCCAGCGGCCCGGATGTGCTGGTAGGTTTCAAAGTCTCCCTGGTTAGGTCCCGAGGCAGGGAAGTCAACATCGAACCATTCTGACCAGGAGCAGAATTCAGGTTGACAGATGGTAGTGGATTCAGTGCTGTAAGTCGTGCTGGTTGAGGGGATGACAGTAGGGGTCGGCGTGAAGGTGGTGGTGCTGGTGGAGCTTAGTGGTGTTGACTGTGATGAGGTTGGCGCTGTGGTGGAGGAGTAGCTAGTAGAGGTGGAGGTGGTGACCGTGGTGGGTGATGTGACGGTGCTTGGGATGGTGGTGCTGGTGGGGCTGGTGGTAGGTGTGGTGGTGACTGGGCAGTTGTAGTTCGGGGTGCAGCAGAGGACGCGGATCTTGTAGTTGAGGCACATCTTGAATCTGCCGGGCTGGTCTTCGTTCTTGCACACCAGTCCAAAGTGGACGTCGCACTGTACAACCTGGCCGACGTTTTCGATGGAAATCTCGGGGTAGTCCTCCGCCTGGCACTGGATTTGTTTGGGGTGTTGACAGACTTCCTTCCCAGCGGCCCGGATGTGCTGGTAGGTTTCAAAGTCTCCCTGGTTAGGTCCCGAGGCAGGGAAGTCAACATCGAACCATTCTGACCAGGAGCAGAATTCAGGTTGACAGATGGTAGTGGATTCAGTGCTGTAAGTCGTGCTGGTTGAGGGGATGACAGTAGGGGTCGGCGTGAAGGTGGTGGTGCTGGTGGAGCTTAGTGGTGTTGACTGTGATGAGGTTGGCGCTGTGGTGGAGGAGTAGCTAGTAGAGGTGGAGGTGGTGACCGTGGTGGGTGATGTGACGGTGCTTGGGATGGTGGTGCTGGTGGGGCTGGTGGTAGGTGTGGTGGTGACTGGGCAGTTGTAGTTCGGGGTGCAGCAGAGGACGCGGATCTTGTAGTTGAAGCACATCTTGAATCTGCCGGGCTGGTCTTCGTTCTTGCACACCAGTCCAAAGTGGACGTCGCACTGTACAACCTGGCCGACGTTTTCGATGGAAATCTCGGGGTAGTCCTCCGCCTGGCACTGGATTTGTTTGGGGTGTTGACAGACTTCCTTCCCAGCGGCCCGGATGTGCTGGTAGGTTTCAAAGTCTCCCTGGTTAGGTCCCGAGGCAGGGAAGTCAACATCGAACCATTCTGACCAGGAGCAGAATTCAGGTTGACAGATGGTAGTGGATTCAGTGCTGTAAGTCGTGCTGGTTGAGGGGATGACAGTAGGGGTCGTCGTGAAGGTGGTGGTGCTGGTGGAGCTTAGTGGTGTTGACTGTGATGAGGTTGGCGCTGTGGTGGAGGAGTAGCTAGTAGAGGTGGAGGTGGTGACCGTGGTGGGTGATGTGACGGTGCTTGGGATGGTGGTGCTGGTGGGGCTGGTGGTAGGTGTGGTGGTGACTGGGCAGTTGTAGTTCGGGGTGCAGCAGAGGACGCGGATCTTGTAGTTGAGGCACATCTTGAATCTGCCGGGCTGGTCTTCGTTCTTGCACACCAGTCCAAAGTGGACGTCGCACTGTACAACCTGGCCGACGTTTTCGATGGAAATCTCGGGGTAGTCCTCCGCCTGGCACTGGATTTGTTTGGGGTGTTGACAGACTTCCTTCCCAGCGGCCCGGATGTGCTGGTAGGTTTCAAAGTCTCCCTGGTTAGGTCCCGAGGCAGGGAAGTCAACATCGAACCATTCTGACCAGGAGCAGAATTCAGGTTGACAGATGGTAGTGGATTCAGTGCTGTAAGTCGTGCTGGTTGAGGGGATGACAGTAGGGGTCGGCGTGAAGGTGGTGGTGCTGGTGGAGCTTAGTGGTGTTGACTGTGATGAGGTTGGCGCTGTGGTGGAGGAGTAGCTAGTAGAGGTGGAGGTGGTGACCGTGGTGGGTGATGTGACGGTGCTTGGGATGGTGGTGCTGGTGGGGCTGGTGGTAGGTGTGGTGGTGACTGGGCAGTTGTAGTTCGGGGTGCAGCAGAGGACGCGGATCTTGTAGTTGAGGCACATCTTGAATCTGCCGGGCTGGTCTTCGTTCTTGCACACCAGTCCAAAGTGGACGTCGCACTGTACAACCTGGCCGACGTTTTCGATGGAAATCTCGGGGTAGTCCTCCGCCTGGCACTGGATTTGTTTGGGGTGTTGACAGACTTCCTTCCCAGCGGCCCGGATGTGCTGGTAGGTTTCAAAGTCTCCCTGGTTAGGTCCCGAGGCAGGGAAGTCAACATCGAACCATTCTGACCAGGAGCAGAATTCAGGTTGACAGATGGTAGTGGATTCAGTGCTGTAAGTCGTGCTGGTTGAGGGGATGACAGTAGGGGTCGTCGTGAAGGTGGTGGTGCTGGTGGAGCTTAGTGGTGTTGACTGTGATGAGGTTGGCGCTGTGGTGGAGGAGTAGCTAGTAGAGGTGGAGGTGGTGACCGTGGTGGGTGATGTGACGGTGCTTGGGATGGTGGTGCTGGTGGGGCTGGTGGTAGGTGTGGTGGTGACTGGGCAGTTGTAGTTCGGGGTGCAGCAGAGGACGCGGATCTTGTAGTTGAAGCACATCTTGAATCTGCCGGGCTGGTCTTCGTTCTTGCACACCAGTCCAAAGTGGACGTCGCACTGTACAACCTGGCCGACGTTTTCGATGGAAATCTCGGGGTAGTCCTCCGCCTGGCACTGGATTTGTTTGGGGTGTTGACAGACTTCCTTCCCAGCGGCCCGGATGTGCTGGTAGGTTTCAAAGTCTCCCTGGTTAGGTCCCGAGGCAGGGAAGTCAACATCGAACCATTCTGACCAGGAGCAGAATTCAGGTTGACAGATGGTAGTGGATTCAGTGCTGTAAGTCGTGCTGGTTGAGGGGATGACAGTAGGGGTCGTCGTGAAGGTGGTGGTGCTGGTGGAGCTTAGTGGTGTTGACTGTGATGAGGTTGGCGCTGTGGTGGAGGAGTAGCTAGTAGAGGTGGAGGTGGTGACCGTGGTGGGTGATGTGACGGTGCTTGGGATGGTGGTGCTGGTGGGGCTGGTGGTAGGTGTGGTGGTGACTGGGCAGTTGTAGTTCGGGGTGCAGCAGAGGACGCGGATCTTGTAGTTGAGGCACATCTTGAATCTGCCGGGCTGGTCTTCGTTCTTGCACACCAGTCCAAAGTGGACGTCGCACTGTACAACCTGGCCGACGTTTTCGATGGAAATCTCGGGGTAGTCCTCCGCCTGGCACTGGATTTGTTTGGGGTGTTGACAGACTTCCTTCCCAGCGGCCCGGATGTGCTGGTAGGTTTCAAAGTCTCCCTGGTTAGGTCCCGAGGCAGGGAAGTCAACATCGAACCATTCTGACCAGGAGCAGAATTCAGGTTGACAGATGGTAGTGGATTCAGTGCTGTAAGTCGTGCTGGTTGAGGGGATGACAGTAGGGGTCGTCGTGAAGGTGGTGGTGCTGGTGGAGCTTAGTGGTGTTGACTGTGATGAGGTTGGCGCTGTGGTGGAGGAGTAGCTAGTAGAGGTGGAGGTGGTGACCGTGGTGGGTGATGTGACGGTGCTTGGGATGGTGGTGCTGGTGGGGCTGGTGGTAGGTGTGGTGGTGACTGGGCAGTTGTAGTTCGGGGTGCAGCAGAGGACGCGGATCTTGTAGTTGAGGCACATCTTGAATCTGCCGGGCTGGTCTTCGTTCTTGCACACCAGTCCAAAGTGGACGTCGCACTGTACAACCTGGCCGACGTTTTCGATGGAAATCTCGGGGTAGTCCTCCGCCTGGCACTGGATTTGTTTGGGGTGTTGACAGACTTCCTTCCCAGCGGCCCGGATGTGCTGGTAGGTTTCAAAGTCTCCCTGGTTAGGTCCCGAGGCAGGGAAGTCAACATCGAACCATTCTGACCAGGAGCAGAATTCAGGTTGACAGATGGTAGTGGATTCAGTGCTGTAAGTCGTGCTGGTTGAGGGGATGACAGTAGGGGTCGTCGTGAAGGTGGTGGTGCTGGTGGAGCTTAGTGGTGTTGACTGTGATGAGGTTGGCGCTGTGGTGGAGGAGTAGCTAGTAGAGGTGGAGGTGGTGACCGTGGTGGGTGATGTGACGGTGCTTGGGATGGTGGTGCTGGTGGGGCTGGTGGTAGGTGTGGTGGTGACTGGGCAGTTGTAGTTCGGGGTGCAGCAGAGGACGCGGATCTTGTAGTTGAGGCACATCTTGAATCTGCCGGGCTGGTCTTCGTTCTTGCACACCAGTCCAAAGTGGACGTCGCACTGTACAACCTGGCCGACGTTTTCGATGGAAATCTCGGGGTAGTCCTCCGCCTGGCACTGGATTTGTTTGGGGTGTTGACAGACTTCCTTCCCAGCGGCCCGGATGTGCTGGTAGGTTTCAAAGTCTCCCTGGTTAGGTCCCGAGGCAGGGAAGTCAACATCGAACCATTCTGACCAGGAGCAGAATTCAGGTTGACAGATGGTAGTGGATTCAGTGCTGTAAGTCGTGCTGGTTGAGGGGATGACAGTAGGGGTCGTCGTGAAGGTGGTGGTGCTGGTGGAGCTTAGTGGTGTTGACTGTGATGAGGTTGGCGCTGTGGTGGAGGAGTAGCTAGTAGAGGTGGAGGTGGTGACCGTGGTGGGTGATGTGACGGTGCTTGGGATGGTGGTGCTGGTGGGGCTGGTGGTAGGTGTGGTGGTGACTGGGCAGTTGTAGTTCGGGGTGCAGCAGAGGACGCGGATCTTGTAGTTGAGGCACATCTTGAATCTGCCGGGCTGGTCTTCGTTCTTGCACACCAGTCCAAAGTGGACGTCGCACTGTACAACCTGGCCGACGTTTTCGATGGAAATCTCGGGGTAGTCCTCCGCCTGGCACTGGATTTGTTTGGGGTGTTGACAGACTTCCTTCCCAGCGGCCCGGATGTGCTGGTAGGTTTCAAAGTCTCCCTGGTTAGGTCCCGAGGCAGGGAAGTCAACATCGAACCATTCTGACCAGGAGCAGAATTCAGGTTGACAGATGGTAGTGGATTCAGTGCTGTAAGTCGTGCTGGTTGAGGGGATGACAGTAGGGGTCGGCGTGAAGGTGGTGGTGCTGGTGGAGCTTAGTGGTGTTGACTGTGATGAGGTTGGCGCTGTGGTGGAGGAGTAGCTAGTAGAGGTGGAGGTGGTGACCGTGGTGGGTGATGTGACGGTGCTTGGGATGGTGGTGCTGGTGGGGCTGGTGGTAGGTGTGGTGGTGACTGGGCAGTTGTAGTTCGGGGTGCAGCAGAGGACGCGGATCTTGTAGTTGAGGCACATCTTGAATCTGCCGGGCTGGTCTTCGTTCTTGCACACCAGTCCAAAGTGGACGTCGCACTGTACAACCTGGCCGACGTTTTCGATGGAAATCTCGGGGTAGTCCTCCGCCTGGCACTGGATTTGTTTGGGGTGTTGACAGACTTCCTTCCCAGCGGCCCGGATGTGCTGGTAGGTTTCAAAGTCTCCCTGGTTAGGTCCCGAGGCAGGGAAGTCAACATCGAACCATTCTGACCAGGAGCAGAATTCAGGTTGACAGATGGTAGTGGATTCAGTGCTGTAAGTCGTGCTGGTTGAGGGGATGACAGTAGGGGTCGTCGTGAAGGTGGTGGTGCTGGTGGAGCTTAGTGGTGTTGACTGTGATGAGGTTGGCGCTGTGGTGGAGGAGTAGCTAGTAGAGGTGGAGGTGGTGACCGTGGTGGGTGATGTGACGGTGCTTGGGATGGTGGTGCTGGTGGGGCTGGTGGTAGGTGTGGTGGTGACTGGGCAGTTGTAGTTCGGGGTGCAGCAGAGGACGCGGATCTTGTAGTTGAGGCACATCTTGAATGTGCCGGGCTGGTCTTCGTTCTTGCACACCAGTCCAAAGTGGACGTCGCACTGTACAACCTGGCCGACGTTTTCGATGGAAATCTCGGGGTAGTCCTCCGCCTGGCACTGGATTTGTTTGGGGTGTTGACAGACTTCCTTCCCAGCGGCCCGGATGTGCTGGTAGGTTTCAAAGTCTCCCTGGTTAGGTCCCGAGGCAGGGAAGTCAACATCGAACCATTCTGACCAGGAGCAGAATTCAGGTTGACAGATGGTAGTGGATTCAGTGCTGTAAGTCGTGCTGGTTGAGGGGATGACAGTAGGGGTCGGCGTGAAGGTGGTGGTGCTGGTGGAGCTTAGTGGTGTTGACTGTGATGAGGTTGGCGCTGTGGTGGAGGAGTAGCTAGTAGAGGTGGAGGTGGTGACCGTGGTGGGTGATGTGACGGTGCTTGGGATGGTGGTGCTGGTGGGGCTGGTGGTAGGTGTGGTGGTGACTGGGCAGTTGTAGTTCGGGGTGCAGCAGAGGACGCGGATCTTGTAGTTGAGGCACATCTTGAATCTGCCGGGCTGGTCTTCGTTCTTGCACACCAGTCCAAAGTGGACGTCGCACTGTACAACCTGGCCGACGTTTTCGATGGAAATCTCGGGGTAGTCCTCCGCCTGGCACTGGATTTGTTTGGGGTGTTGACAGACTTCCTTCCCAGCGGCCCGGATGTGCTGGTAGGTTTCAAAGTCTCCCTGGTTAGGTCCCGAGGCAGGGAAGTCAACATCGAACCATTCTGACCAGGAGCAGAATTCAGGTTGACAGATGGTAGTGGATTCAGTGCTGTAAGTCGTGCTGGTTGAGGGGATGACAGTAGGGGTCGTCTTGAAGGTGGTGGTGCTGGTGGAGCTTAGTGGTGTTGACTGTGATGAGGTTGGCGCTGTGGTGGAGGAGTAGCTAGTAGAGGTGGAGGTGGTGACCGTGGTGGGTGATGTGACGGTGCTTGGGATGGTGGTGCTGGTGGGGCTGGTGGTAGGTGTGGTGGTGACTGGGCAGTTGTAGTTCGGGGTGCAGCAGAGGACGCGGATCTTGTAGTTGAAGCACATCTTGAATCTGCCGGGCTGGTCTTCGTTCTTGCACACCAGTCCAAAGTGGACGTCGCACTGTACAACCTGGCCGACGTTTTCGATGGAAATCTCGGGGTAGTCCTCCGCCTGGCACTGGATTTGTTTGGGGTGTTGACAGACTTCCTTCCCAGCGGCCCGGATGTGCTGGTAGGTTTCAAAGTCTCCCTGGTTAGGTCCCGAGGCAGGGAAGTCAACATCGAACCATTCTGACCAGGAGCAGAATTCAGGTTGACAGATGGTAGTGGATTCAGTGCTGTAAGTCGTTCTGGTTGAGGGGATGATAGTAGGGGTCGGCGTGAAGGTGGTGGTGCTGGTGGAGCTTAGTGGTGTTGACTCTGAGGATATGGGCACTGTCGAGGTTGAGGTTGTGACTGGTGTTGGTAATGTAGTATACGTTGTCTTTGATTCTGTTTGTGTTTGTGTCGTTGGTGTCGATGTAGTTTCACTATGAATATGTTCTGTTTTTGGTGGTATTGTTGATGCAGTTGTAGTTTTATGTTTGGTGTGAAATTCTGGTGTTTGTTCTGTTGTTGATATTTTTGTGTATTGTGTACTTTGAGTTGTTGAGTATGTCATTGTTGTTGACTCTTGTGTGGTCGTTTGAGTTGTTTCGCATGGCACTGTTATGTTTCTACAGCATTTAAATCTTATTTCATAATTATAGCAAATTGGTGGTAGCTGGTCTTTATTGTAGCATATTAATCCTTCTTCAGCATTGCATGTAATGCGTTGCTCCAGGAGTTGGTACGGTGTGTCAGGGAACCTTACTGCTCTGCATTCTACAGCCTTTCTGTTAGCACAGACTTTATATCCATGTTTTATTATGTTCTCAATTGTATCAAAATCTCCATCATTATATCCAGATTCTGGATAACTAACGTCATACCATATTGACCAGTCACATTCCTCTTTTATGCAACCAGGAGTGGTTGAAGGAATTGTTGTGACTGGTTTCATCGTTTTGGTTGTGGTTGTTGTTATTTCTTTAGTAACTGAAGGTGTGAATGTTGACGTTTCAGAAGTTGTAGGAACTGTTGATGGTGTACTGGCAGACGTTTCCCTTGGTACAGTAGGTGTTAAGCAGTGGCTGTAGTCATCACAACAGAGTACTTTTATCTGATAATTAAGACACATATGCAGTTCTCCTTTTTGATCCTCATTTCTGCAGATAAGTCCAAATGATACATTGCAGTGAACAACCTGACCAATTTCTTCAATGGATTTATGTGGGTATTTTTCTGCTCTGCACTGTATTTTTTCAGGATGTCTGCAGATTGCTTTTCCAGCTGATCTAATGTCATGGTAAGTTTCATAATCTCCTTTGTTCTGCAAAGTTGGGAAATGGACATCATACCACTGGGACCATTTGCACTTTGGTTGGCAAGGCATCGTACTGGTTATAGGCGTAGTGGAAGTACTTGTTTCCAGAGGTGTTTCTGAAGGAGTACTTGTTTCGATAATTGGACTTGTTTTTTCTGTGCTTGTAGCTGAAGTTGTGACACTGGTACTTGCTGTTGTGGTTGTCATTTCTGGAACTGGGATGTGTGTGATCGGTGTTGAAGTCTCATAAGGTGTTGTGATGAAAGGTGTGGAAGAGCATGGTACAAAAACACAACATAAGATTCTGATTTCGTAATTGTAGCACATTGTTGAAATTTGATCTTTGTTGTAACATATAAGTCCAGACGTTGTACTGCATTCTACTGTTTGGCCAAGGTCTTTCAGTGGTATGTTAGGAAATTTCTCTGCTCTGCACTGAACAGCCTTTGGAGCTCTACAGACTTCATAACCTTTAGCTCTCAAATCATCAAACGTTTCAAAATCTCCACCATCATACCCAGGTATGAGTAGATTTCCATCATACCATTCTGACCACTGACAGACTTCATGAACGCATACTGATGTTGTTGGTGATGATGTAACTGAAAGAGTAAAAGAAAATACCATGAAACTTAGAATGAAAATTTCAGTATCTCAATGCCATTATCTGAGTAGTCCACTTAGTTCTGTAATATCATACATATCATGTATGTATACATATCATGTATATATCATATGTACATATACATATCATGTATGTAGGGTATTACCCTACCAGGAATTCTAGACAAAGTAATCATTTGGTAATTTAATAGGAAACATAATGAGTCATCTATTCATTCAGTAAAGATTATTCCAGGTATAGGAATAGTTACAATTAGAGACAATAAATCTCATACTGTTTCATTATTGTTTGCCATGAAAACAAATAAAATAATAGTATCAAAGCAGTATGCAGTGGTTTCCATTTTGTTGTTTGGGAAGTTATTTCATTTTCTGTTTATTTGTTTGTATTAATTTGATTGCCAAATATTGACTGAAAACAAATGCCAATGAAAAATGAGACTTAGTGGTTATCTTGTAGCTATATTTTACTCACCAATGAATAGAATAAGCTCTCAGTGGCTATAAAATATGTACCTGTGGAAGTAGTGGCAGGTGGCGTAGTGCTGAACTGAAATGGTGTGGGTGATGCTGAGACTGGACAGTGATACACAACCCTTTGCAGTGTTCCATTGGGACCACAGATTGCAACAATACACCCTCCTATGCCATCTGTAGTATTGTAGATCACGTCATTATAGTTATATGTCTGTCCTTCATAAGTGCAGACACATTCTGTAAATCAAAAGAAGATGTTATTCCTTGGTATCTGAAAACACAGAGTAGAGTGCTTTCAGTGTATCCTACTGAGATGAAAACAACTTTGTCAACATACCATGTTCATCATATTTGCATTTTTTGCCATGGTTTGTGCATTCACTGGAAAAGAGGAAAAAGGTTATGATGAATGTGAATATATTGGTTAAAAATAGCACTGTTTTCTCCTTGAGAGAAGGCTTAGCAGAACTTTCCCAACCTGTATGGCTATATTCAGCAGTTCTTACAGAATTTATAGGAATACTTGCTGACTTTTGGAAATATGCAAGTGCCACTGGAATAACAGAAACAAGCTCAAAATAATGAAGATTAGTTGTCTACTAACTTCTAAATATTTATTTAGGCATATTTTAATATAAGCGCTCAGATTATTGTTGTAACTATTATTATTTTAATTTGGTTTTACTTAATAATAATAATTTACAAAGACATCAGTAAGAATTCAGAATAAGTAGTAAATTAACCTCTCTTAAATAAAATGTTCCATCATGTCATCTTTTATGTTTCTGGGAACAGAAGAAAATTAAACACTACTCAGCAGCCTATGACTGGCCTAGTTCCTGTTAGCAAACAAATGACTGAGTGCATGAAGAATTAAGTTCTGCAAATTTCAACTCAACATTTAAAAATCTTTACTAATCCTACCATGATTGACAATTCTGCTTTGAAGGCATCTGCGTTCCTGGCTTGTAATGTTTTCCATTTTCATAGCAACCACAATTAGAAACACAAGTCATGGTTTCTTCATCAAAATAGGGCTTATTCTTTGGACAGTGTGGATAACAGCCTGCAATAAAAATTAGAGTTATGTTGACACTTGGCTTTCCCAGACAGAAGTAACTCTATACTCTGTCAATATCTGATCTCTTGAAATTATTCCAGTAATATAGTATATATTCCAGTAATACAGAAAGTGGAATTTCATCCTCCCATTACTGCTATTGCATTGATTACACATTAAGCTTTGAAGCATTTTTTCTTCATCTTCACTTCAAAGAAGTGCGTGATTAATTAGGGAGTTAGACATTAATTAGAAAATCTCCTCTTATAATTTCTAATATAAACATTCATACACTGAGTAATATAAATTTTGTTCATCATAGTCCATTTTATCTTTTTATAAATAGAATGAGATATGCATAATTATGTTTACCTTCCAAGCCTCTCAACTCATGAAGGCACTTCCCACTTGGATTATTGCATGTCTTCATACAAGGGGCTCCACATGGCTTGTAGTGCCACTCACATTCCCCTTGTGGATTATAGTAATCACAGAATAGAGCTAGAGGAAGGAGAAATGACAGAAAAAGATCTTTAATTTTTATTGCTCCGAGGTCTTTCATTGCTATAATTTTCCTGGGTAAAAATCCCATGTCATCAACATAAACATGTAAGTGGTGAACAGTATGTTGTCTCATTTAATACTATTTTAAATACTATTTTTAACACTATTTTGAATACTATTTAATGCTATTGTTATACTACCACATTTTGATACCAATAATGCTATAAAGCATCAAACAGTTAGACATTAAGCATGAAAAATCAATTAAATCACAAATTTTAGCTGAAATGAACTAGTATTTATTTACAGTGTATGTGATGTAGACAGCTAGGAGTATAATATGATACTATAGTTTGCCACTTGTCTGTCATGACTGATAATTAAATAAGACACTAATAACACCACCAGTAAAGTTACTAGCACGATTTCTTTTTAAGTAATGATAATTTTCCAATGATTTACTCAAGCAGTGCCTCTTATAAATACAATTTAATCCTCCTTTCTTTCTTCTCCCTCCTTGTTTTTTTCTTTTTTTTTTTTTTTTTCCTTCTCTATTATCTTTCCCTCTAGACCCCTTCAAAAAGTCATGGAGTGGGACTTACGACAAATGGATGGGGTTCTCCATGAAATGCAGATGTCCAGCTCATTGCATGCTTGAGCATAGGCAGCTACTGCTGTACAGAAACATTCACAGTCTCCTCCTGTGTCGCAAGCACATGCATCATCCACACATGCTTGATAATATTCATTTGGTTCAACCTGTTGGAGAAAACCTTTGAATTGGATTTCTTGCACTTGCCCACTTTGAAAAGGCATTTCCTGTCTTAAATATGCTGAGGAAATACCTGAAACTGGCAACTCTATATGTGTGAGAAACATAAGAAATGAAGAAATTGTGAGAATATTTTGAAAAATCAAAAGAAATATGTAGAATACAGCTATTAGGAGTAAATCGTAACTATAACAACTACTTGATGTTAAAGACATTAGAAGGAAGAGTATTGTTACATTACTACACAGTAGCACACAATCATAGATATTAGGTAGCTGATACTGATATTAATAGATATAAATGATGCCATTAAAAAATAAACATATCTTGAGATTTATCTGTGATTGTCTCTTCTCTAGCACAAACAAACAAACCCTATGAATTTCTGTACTGCACCGGTTACAGCAAAAGCTGAGGAAACTGAAGTGAAAATCCTTTCTATGCAGTCTCCCTGGAACTTGGTCTCACTTCACTTTATCAGGTGTGACATAGTCTGAATCCTAGTGCATTTTCAGCTGCCCCGCATAAAAAAAATTATGTAATCTCCATCTTGAGAATTTCAGACTGAAGCTGTACCATACCTGGGAGTGACACTTTGCAAATACTTCACTGGTAATGATGCTGCATTGTTTCTGTGCCCAGGATTTCCTGTATGGGTTTGCAGTACATGGATCCTTGGTTTGATTGGCATTTGGGCAAGTAGAAGACACTTTCCAGCTATTAGCAAACTCCAGCACATTTCCTACCACAGACTGGCTGCGGGTAGTGAAGTCATTGTTTCCATTGCCATCATAGTTTCCACAAAGGCCACAGACATGTCCCTGCATGGGGATAAACAAAATATCAGTGATCAGTAAGGTACAGTTTCTCGGTATCTATGACTAACACGCCTCAGAACGAATTTTATTTAAGATGGTGTGGGCCTCTTCAGCAACAGTCTTGGACATTCTCATAAAACATCTTTTATGAAGAGAGGTACCCCTAACTTGTTAGGAAGGATAGGGAAAGAAGCAGAGTAGAGCTGTGGGTTTTGTTCTTAATATCGTAGCTTAGTATTGAGCTAGTTCTATCTAATCCTCAATGTACCTCTTCAGTGAGGATTTTTCATGAAGGAAATATTGATATAGCTGCTGTTATGCTATTGTTGAATAACATAATTTATGGAAAATGTGTATACAGAATCTAAGTCAATAGTACAAGGATAATAGTAAGCAATCACTGCTCTTTCAGTGTTCCAGTTGCAGCCTAAATTTCCTTTTTTTCCTGTGAGAGATAGCATAAATATGGATCAGAAATTGTTGGCTTCAGGTTTTGGATTTTAAAATATACCTGAAAGCTGGGGCTAAGTTTGATGAATATGCTGGTTTTCTTGTCCCACATGAGTATCAAGCCAACAGTAGTGTCAACAACCAGGTAGATGCCCATGGAACGGATTTGGAATGGCATTTCTCCTCCAGGTGTTCTCTGGATGACATCAGAACGTCCATCGCTGAGTACCAATTCATAGTTCTGGGACAGGAAAACAAAAAGTTAGAGACCAATTTTAAAAAGTCACCTTTTGGTTTCCATTTTTTTTATATATTACCAGTAGCTATTATTGAAATAATAAATCTATTATCATCAAAATGGCTCTAGTCAAAAAACTCATGTTAATCTTTTTCTCTTTAGAATTCCCTCCTTTGCTTTCCCTAGCAGAGAGCAGAATTGTTTGGCAGTGACCGAGAAAGTGTAGTAACATTTTTACAGTCCTGCAGGACACTTTTATGATGCAGTCTATCTGGGACAACCTTTATCATCCTTCCAGCACATTAGGCTTGGATCACAACTTACTGAAGAGCACACTTACCCCAAGGAAAACTTTAATAGACTTAGAGCAGGTGGTTCCTGTAGTGCCACATGGAATGTTCTCAGTGATGACTCTGAAGGTTCCCTGATCCAAACCTTTTTTGCCACAGTAGTTCTGAAACAGGAATGATACTCAGTGTTAATGAAGCTCTGTGCTCATATGTAAAATGCAAGGTACTTTGGCAGTGCAAAAATCTGGGAAGGACTCTGTTACCTGGATCAGAACATATTCACAGTCTCCTTCAAAATCAAAGCGTTTGCCATCAAAGGTGGTGTAATGCCCATCTCCGTAAACTGAACAGGTTTCCAGGCAAGGTTCCTCAGAGCAGTGCCACTTTCTGTTTCTACATGTGCTGTATAAGATGAAAAGGACTTTAAATGTAAAAAAAATAGACATGCACATAACATACCTATACATGTATTTCTGTATGCACATTCATGTTTTTAATTTCTGTGTTAAGCCCATAGTGAAAAAATAAGGTTTATTTATTCCCAGAAATATGGCATAGACTTTATAGATAGAGTCTTTAGGATTTGTCTTTAGGATTTATCCAAAGACTGTTACTCCTTGATGCCATGAATAGTTTGGGTTAGAAAAACCTTTGAATGTTCCACATTTCTAAATCTTGTTGGATATATTGAAATATAGGGATGGCCTGAGAGGATAAAAAGCTTTATTGACTCTAACGAATATGACAGCATCTAAAACCACATTGCTCTTCTGACCACATGCAATTTCTTTGCTGTGTGCCACTGCAAAAACAGATGGAACTTGCTTTTTAGGTACTAAGTAGATAGGATTCTTTCCTATAAATCTTGATACTGCTAGAGTGATAAGCTGTAATTCACCTAGAGTTAAACTATCCCCTTCCAGGTGCTTGAAAATCATGTTTCAATATTATTTACCAGTTGTAATTCTTACCAGTTGTTACAGCCAACTCTGATTGATTCTCCTGGACTGTAGGAATCCCCGTTGTGAACACATGGACACTCTTCAGGAGCTATACAACCACCTTTACCATCTAATACGTAATTATGAGGACATATGCAGCCAGAGACACAGTGGGTTTTGTACTGTAAGGACCACATAGAAAACAAGACTTGAAACATTGCCCTGATGGAAGAGTCCATCTACAGCTGGTAAGTGTAAAAGTGACCTAGATAAATATGCTTTCAACTGGGTGTAAAGAGTCTGTACTTACACACTCCATGTCTAGAGTCTGACAGCTCTTCTGGCACTCTGCTCCTGCCACACCTGCAGTGGCATTGCCACAGTCAACATAGACCATGGGAGATGCACAGACTGGAAGACAGAAAAGCCATGAGAAATGTGAGATGAACCATATCTTTGTGTTTCTTTAAAAACTGAAAAAAAAATCCTTTGTGAAATATATGAACCTTAATAGAATGCATTTGACAAGAAAAATTTTGTTTTGAAGTCACACTCATCTTCTCATCTTTTTTTTTTTTTTTTAAGCTTTTGCTTGGACTGCTCATAGAAACTCCTGTTAGTTAGCTTTATGAAACACTTCTTTCAACAAAAAACAACCCCTCCCAAAAAAAGGAAGCCACACAAGAAAACAAAGATACTGTTTTATTCTACATGTTTGAGGTGACTGGCTTTTAGTCCTTTTATTTTATGTAAAAAATATAAAATATGGTTGTTTTTCTCCTCGCGTTTAGTGAGGTGACCAAATGTTCTGTTCCCCTTGGTAATTCAGGAGATTATAACTTCTTTCTGCCATTTGAAAATGAAAAGTGCTTCTTTACAGTTAGGGAATGTCATTACAGAAATCATCTGTTCATTTTCCTGTTTGATTTCAGAGTTGTAAAATTTGCATCATTATGACAAAAAGAGATAACTGGAAAGGGTGAAGGTGGAAAAGGAGAATTAAATAAAATCTTAAGTGGTATGTTACCTGGTTGTGGTTTTTCTCCAATGCAGCTCAGCTTTCCATAGGTGCAAGTGCTATAAAAGAGAGAATGGAGTTATGTTTGCTTCTCTTGTTAAGGTTCAACTTGTTTCCTAATGAATTTGAAATAATGAAAAAAATACTGATAAAATAGAGAAGACATACCCTTCGTCAGAATAGTTTGTACTATTAAAATTATTTTATATTAAAGCAGACCAAGATATGATTATGTTCTATATAAGGACGGGTCTGCTCTGTGCACTTGCTTCATTAAAAGTTGTCCTTCAGAATATTCCAGATTCATAATGTTAATCCTAATAGGATTATCAAGTTTGTAGCATCTTTCACTGTGAAACAAGTCCTTTATGGTCATGGATGAGAAATTGTTTGGCATAGAGTGAGTATCTGGGTGAGAGTTTGGCTGTTAGCCAAGGCTAACTCACCACAGTATATGGTTTGTTCGACTGCTTTCTAAGTACAGATTTCCAAACATATATAGCCCTTACAATTTTTAAGAATTTCTAGTTTTCTGTGTTGAATTTATTCAGCAGAGAAATGCATTTGGTTTGAATTGATCGCATGAGCTAAATATGGTTTCATGATCGCCCATATCCGGTTTCATTCTTTTGTTCACAAAACTTACCAGACAACGCCATTGTCATGAATGACTTCCCCAGGAGACAGAGGCATTCCTTTGTAGTAACAAGGACAGCTAGAAGCAGGCACACATTTGCCACTTTCATCCATGTAGGTTCCATTTATGCAGGTGCAGCCATCAACTGGGACAAACTTGATGTTGCATGTGACATCAGGCTCACTCAGAGAGCGACAAGTGGGTTGACAGGAATCAACATTGTAAGTATACTTCAAGGATTTCGGACATGTGTTGGTGTATTTCGCTTGAGAGAGTAAAATAAGGTGAGTTATGTTTGTAGTTAATTTAAGGATCAATGTAGGCATAAATGCAGTATTTGAGGGAAAGTACATATGATAAAAGTGGCACTGTATATAGACATGCTTTTCTGATATGTGAATACTGTGATTATTTTTAACTGTTAAAGCAAAATATATAAATGTATCGCCTATGAATGTATCAAAAATACAAATATTTTGTCCAGGTGTAAAAAGGAAAAAAGCTCAGTTATATTAATGCATCGTGTGTTTCTTCTTCATTGCTATTTTTATATTTTATGTCAATGTAAATTGAGAAACACTCTAGTTATTTTATTGCTATTACAAGAGTATTGAATTCCATGTTGCTTCTTCTGATTCTGAGCAAGTAATCTAACAAAGCCTATTTTTTATATTTCATCCTGCTTACTGCTTCGCTTTTATGGCATTCCTCTCCTCCCCAAATTCTTGAAAGTGAATGCTTTACTTAAAAAACAGTTTAACACAATTTACTCTGGGAATTCCATATATCCTGAAAGCTAATTTGTGGAGCCTTCTGGATGATCATTTTCAAGAGGCAAGGGGATGTAAAACTTACTGCAGACTTTGTTCCTCCATCCATTGAGGAGAACTCCTTTCACAGCACAGGCTCTGACATAGCTGGAGAGGGCAGCACACATGCAGTCCTCAGTGTTCTCACAGTTACATGTGTCAAACATGCAGTTCTAGGGACAGAGGATGACATATGATCATCAGATTGTCATTTCGGAGCCATGGCTCTTTATACGTTTTAGAGTGTCATGTTCATTAGAGCTGAAAGCAAGTGAAGTTCATATATGTAAGTAAGCATATGCTCATTTTTCATTTGAAGATTTCCTTGAGTCCTTTCAGAAAATAGTCTTTTCAAGGAGAGATAGTAATCAGAGGACCAGAGTTTAAACTTATTTTTCCTTTTGGTTGTTCTTTATTTTTGCAAGTGGTGGTAGCTTTCCCAGCTACTTCCAGTTTCTAGCCACAGTGCCATGGTTACTTAGTGGGACAAGTAGAAGTTATTTGCACCCGACTTTTAGTACTTTTATTTGAAGCTTGTGCTCTTTGCATCCGAGGAACAAAGAAAACAAGAAGTCACTTAATCTGTTACTGTGCCAAGTAAGGCCACTATAATGTGGCCATTCCAAAGGATTTGTTAAACATACTCTTACAGATATTCAAGCTGCCCAAGAAGTTCCAGAGCTTCATCATCTTGAATTCCTGGAACGTTTTTTTTCCCCACAATCTCTTTGCTGCTTTGTGCATGCATTTATTACTTTGCCCTTGGTTATATGCAAAAGTAGATGCCTCCTGAGAGCAACTATGCAAAGTACTAGTTAAGCTCCTGACTAAAGCTTTCCTTATATCTCAGGTAAGGAGGCTTCTGTCCTTTGATCTCATAAGGAATCCAGACAGTCCAAGCTCCTAGATTAGGCATTTAGCAGCAGGAAAATGCCTGTAAGTTTATCCTCCTTTGAATGGAAAGAAAGATACCTTTAAAAAAGGAGTATTATGATGTGTAATGGGCTTCGGGCTTCAAAAGAATTGTAATGAATGCATCTCCACCTGATTGGCAAGTTGTTCTTTCAGGTGTTAGAATCAGAAGTCCAAGTCTTATTCTTTCAAACACGAAAAAGTTAAAACCAAGTACCTTCTGGTAAACTTCTGGATTCACTGTTGAGTGACATTCGGCAAAAGGTCCCATGGTATCAGAGAGCAGTCCACACCAGTGCTGAGCATACTTGTCTGTGAATTTAAAATATACAAATTTATATTGCACTTCATTGTCTAAATTCCTGTTTTTGTGTAACAATACTTCTTGTGGGGAAATTGCAGAGGCTTAACTTAATAGAATTCAGCTTTTTTTATTTATTTATTTATTTTTCCCTCCTGGAAATTGAACAACATTTCACGTTGTCTACACAGAAATAAGAATTCTTCATAAACTGAATGCTCTCAATTCATGGTAGTTGTCATGGAATAAACTAATACATCCTTAGATGCATTGTGGATGCTCAAATCTTGATTATTTCATTGCTTGAAATTCTTGACAGCCTGACAGCTATGAAGTTATGAACTGTAAGACTGGTTCATATTTTGACAGTGGAAGGACCACATTGAAGTCATCCATCCTTCAGTGGGGCTAAACTCAGCTTTTTTCCTATGTGACAATCAGAGCTTTCAAGGAGTGTATTCCTTATATGCTAAATGGTTCTGGTTCCCCTTAAGTAAACTTGCAAAAACATTTGCTTTCTTTAGCCAAAGGAATATTTTTGAAGATCCAAAATATTTTATTAGTTATTATTTATTAATTGAAGATTTCTTATGTCTACTGAGGAAAATAGTGTGCATTTGCAAAGGGTCCGCTGTTATTTTGGCTAAATGTTTTGTGGTTGATTAGCTTATTTCTTCTTCTTATCTTAAAAGAGAACGGAAGAGTTTGCTATATGCTGAGCTTACCATTTTCTATGCTGAGGGTACAGGGGTTCTCAAATGTGATTTTGGCATCAGGACAATCAGCCTGAGTTTTCCAAGTATTGCCAAAGGCAGCTGAAGTACCCTCTATTACACCGCTGGTGGTTTTGAAGTCATCAGTCTGGACGTCATTGAAATTTCCACAGAGACCTAGAAGGAAACATGTGGGTCAGATGGAAGCAGATTGAACCTACAGAATCAAGTGTACAGATGAAGGCAGTTGTTAGGATAAAATCACTTACCACAGGTCTGCCCTTTATGTGATGGGTCTAAGTTTATAAAAAGTTGCATGATAGGCGTAAGCTGGATCTGTAGCTGAAGACCAAAAGTTGTTTGTAAAATAATGAAGAACGATGATGGTCTGAAGATGGTGACATTTGCTGGGGACAATGAACATAAGAGTTATAATTTTATCTAAGATGAACAGTTGAAACTACTGTTCATTATATAGGAGTATTGTACAGCTGTGTGTGATCCTAGTTGTTGAAGAACAATATATATAATATATAATATAATATATATATAATATATATATATATATATATAATATATATAATATATTATATATATTATATATTATATATGTATGTATGTATCAATTAAGATTTCAAATCCAGCACTGAAGTGGGCTGTCTTTACCTTCAAAAAAAATTGTAACAAACTCCACCTTCCATCAACTGTTTTGAAATAAGGGAAAAAACGTACACTTCTGTGACTATTTAAAAGGCCACCTTTGCTTAATGAATATTGTTTAGGATGATTTAGTGGTAGCCTCTAACCTCAAACTATTCTGTCATTTATGCTTTCTGTTTAGGTGCAGCAGTTATCTGAGGATTAGTGGCAGAGAAAACCTCCAGTGATGAATGTACATCATACAAAGAGACACAGGGGACACAGGAGAACTAACAACTTGGGAAATTGAATTCCTGTTGTAAATCAGAATTTTTATTTCCTCTCTTATGGCAATACTTGGATCTGGAAGTGTCCAATGAAACTATTTGTCTGAACTGCATCACCATTTGATCAGATCTTACTAAAATCAGACCATAAATTTGCTAAAATTAGAGCAGAGTTGATTAGGCAAACTCTCTATTTAAAAATAAGAGGCTATACTCTGAGTACCTTGGGTTTGCTGTAGTATAACCAAAGGCAGAATTTGGTAGCAGATGAAGAAATAAAATATTTTAAATTCAAAGACAAACATCAGAGGAGTCTTCCAAAGGAACTTACCTGCAGAGAAGGGCAGCTGTGTGTAGATCATATTCACAAATACGCTGCCAGAAGGTTGGATCACAATGTTCTGTCCACAAGAAGAGGGAATGATTATCAAGCATGCTTAGGAAAGGTAAAACACATTCCAAATATCGTATATCTAGTATCATTAAAGATAGAGGAAGGAAAATGGTGTGTGTGGAAGAAAGACTCAGGGTCTATTGATTTTCTGATTCCCTTACTATTTCATTGATCTTTATTATAGAGGTCCATTAATTGCCTTCCCCACCCCACCCCACCCCCCCCCAGAAAAAAAAAAAAAAGAAAGAAAAAGGAAAAGGAAAAGGAAAAGGAAAAGGAAAAGGAAAAGGAAAAGAAAAGAAAAAGAAAAAGAAAAAGAAAAAGAAAAAGAAAAAGAAAAAGAAAAAGAAAAAGAAAAAGAAAGAAACAAGTAATAACAGGAACAAATAACAAATAAGAACCAAATAAAACCCCAAAGACAACTAAATGACAGAAAACTATCAGGATCTTGACTTCCGATATACATACTTTATTCTTTTTTTTTTTCTTTGATTAATGTTCAAATGAGATAAAACAAAAAACAGTGTAGATTTCCTCTCTGTGCTGTTATGTGTCATTTGCATACTACTTGCCTATTAAGTTTTGTAAACATCCCTCCAGAATGCTAGGTATTTGCATTTGCTACTTACAGTTTGTCCTCCACTTAGGCTGATGGTTACACCCTTGAGGCATGTCTCAGTGTCAGTCAGGCCACATTTGTGGATGTCTCCCAGGACAGTGAAATCATTGCTGTCACAGAGCTAGAAGAAGAAAACAAAATAAGTCTACTGTACTAGAAAGGATCACACTCAAATGGCGTTCTTATTAAAGTGAGTCTTTTAAAATGTTGATTATTCCTTTTCTTCTCATTTCTTGCATATCCGTATGTAGTCAGCAAAGTAATCTGATGTTCTTGTATGTCACACAGTGTAAGCTATCAATTACTGCTGACATTCAGTGGCAAGTTAGACATGTTAAACTGAACATTAAAACTTCAGAATGTTTAGGTAGTACTAGTTTAATCTGATAGAGAAGAAGCAAGTATGCCTTTCGTCCTCATTGGTTATGGTGTTTACCTGGGAAAGGAAAAAAATTGCTTCCAATCTTTTCTGCACTGAATAGATTATCAAAAAGCCTGCCCATTTGGACATTCTTTTAACAAGTAGGAAACATGCATTTAAATATCCTCTCACAGGAGAAAATTGAGCCAAGATCACCATTCATTGAGCTACCAAATAAAGGCAAACTGCATTTTTTCTCTTGATTCTGATTTTTTACAGACTGAGTTCTGTGAACTATATTCAAAGTGTGCCTAATGAACAAAACATTACAGGGAAACAGAAAGAAGGCTATGGATCTGAACTTGTCTTATCATTTTCTTGACATTAACAAGACTAAATTGAGGACAGCAGAAAAGCAGAATTACAGCTGTGTAGAAATTTAATGTTAAAATTGTGGGCTTTTAAATCTTTTCAGTCCAGGTTTAAGGTTTTTCTGTACCTCGAAAAGTATGCACCCATTGCTGATCCAGCTTGTGATTCTCATTGAAAATCATCATACATTTAATCTAGTTTATATCTAAATTACCTTATCCTAGTTCATTTCTGAGTTTTTATGATTCTCTTTCCTGGTAATGTTTAGCCTGAACTCTTTGAGAACAGGTTTTATTTAATATGAAGCCTTTATGAGATATTTTTTTTAACATTGCTCACCCAATACAAATCAACAGCAAATATACATAGCATTCTGAAATTTGCAATTTGTAGTCATTACTTTAGACATACCTACTTAGAATTCAGTCCCTACTAATCTTAGAAGTCTAGTAAATTTATTTATTTTTTTTAATCAGTTTTTGATGCTTTAGGATACATGTATGATTTCTTAACTTTTGCTTTTAAATTCAAAAGTCTTATATTTTTACTGGGAAAGACTGTTTGGAAGGTTGATCATCTTAATGAAATATCTCCTGAGCATTTTTCAGAAGGAAATAGTTACAGAGCACCAGACAGGGAATATTACATATAAGAATTAATGGGAAGCATTGTTTCATGGAACCTGAACATGGAACTCAGTGCAATTCTTAAGCATTGATCAAAGTACACGAGAATAGTATAATATATTTATTTAATATAAAACTAACAGAAAGCCTACTGGAATCTATTTAAGGCTCCATGTTGTTCATTTAAATTTCAGGAAATTGACATGATTACTAGTAGTTTAAATCAAGTATATTTAATAAAAGCGTTTTCCTTTAGCATATTGCTTTAGCAAAGAATGTGACTGATTTTTTACCTTGGTTAGGACATAGCTACAGTCTCCAAAGAAGGAATAATATTTTTCATCAAATGTTGAGATGTGGGAACCTCCTTCAATACTGCATGTTCCAGGACACGACTGGGTAACGCAAGCCCATTCACCTTCAGCACAGGTACTGAAATTAAGAAGGCGTTCTGTAACCTTGGGTAGTGCAAGTATAAATGAAATAAGTGACAATAAGGGGAGCTGATGCCTTAATTTTCCTCTTGAAGGAAAAGAGTGCTTACAAAGAAGCCACATTTCTTTGAAATCTCAGAAAAAGTATCAAAAAGGCACATTTATATTGATGATATTTTTATATAATGCATTTGATTTCCAGTCTCTGGACAAAATTCAGTCCTTTTGAATCTGGCATCCATTCTGATGCATATGAAAGATTGCCCCTCATCTCCAAGAGAATGATTTTACCTTCAAATGTGTTATATATTTCTTGAAAAGTAATACGTTTCTGGTTTTTGCATTCATCGACATATAGATAGGTGCATTTGCATATACATATGTAATAAGACTTCAGTAATAATAATGAAATTGAAAAAATATACATAATATCTGCCAAACATGCCTCTCAAACATGATCTCCTAGTATGCACGATGCAGCATGTTCCTGAATATCATAGCCCTCGACTCCAGTATTTACACGAGTGCCCCAGTGTTACACTGTAGGGCAGCAAAGGATGTAACACAGCAATTCACATTTCTGTATGGCTTTTCAGTCTCCGATATGTGAATTTGATTGTCTCCTTTAGGTCATTCTTCCTGAAACTGGAGCACTTATATCTAAACTTAAATTTTTGTTTCTATTTGTGAGGAGAAAACATGGACATAAAAATCTTCCAAAAAATATAATCAAAGAAGTTCAGTTCATAAGTACTTCTTTGTATATTTTTAAGCAGCAGTTAATCATTTTTCCCTGTCTCCAAAATGTCCAGGTAATGCACCTAAAAAAGAAATAGAAGAAAAGGAATATTTTACCATGATCTGCATTTAGATGAGAAGGAGGTACCAGGAGCATAAGTTTCACCTTCATAGGTGCAGTGACATTCCTTACGGGGAATACAGCCAGCACCATTAATGTCATCAAATACCATTCCTAGGGAAAGAAATTGTCTGTTACTCATTCTGTGCGCTGCAGAACCTACTTTTGTACACATATCTGTCAGATGCTTTAAAGCATTTTGCATTTCTCCTGTGTTACATGGAAAATTGAAAGCCACTTCCTTATTTTAAGGAAGGATGCCAGCTATGTAGGGATTGAAGGAACTATAGTCCATTAAAGCCTATCTAAAATCTTCGGGTGATCATAAGGGACTTCTAGGGAAATACCTTTTTGTTATGAGCTTCATTAGATTGCAATTAGGATTAAAAATACTAGATAGCAAAGTGGAATAGATGAACTTTTTGTAAGACTGCCTGGGGACATATTTTCATAGTACATGTATATATGCCCAAGGCAGAGGATTATCCAAGAGGAGTCAATGATATTATATAAACAAGTGATGGTGAATTCTGTGAGACAACATGGAAGATGGGCAAAAGATTTGCAATGCGGTAAGATCATACCTTACTGTCACTCACAACAGCAACAATTCTCAGCCACAGAAATAAGTGTGCACAAAGAAAACATATTTGTATCATTCATCTTGTATTGATACTCAGTTCTCAGATGTAAGTCTGTGAAACACCAGATTTTATAAACTGCCTGGTCATCTCTCCGCTCCTTGTTGTTTAGATACACAGCACTGGACATGGAAAGGTGTGGTAATGTGGGGAACCAGACACAGCTTTGCTAACACCAGGGCAGAATGCAATTAAATGTTACACACTTTCTGTTAACTGAGTATGGATGCTGAGAACAGGAATCTTCATGTTATCAATAACAGTGAAGTCTCTTATACCCAGTTCAGTCATTACATACGTGTGTCAGGCACATGTTCAAAAGGGTGTTTTTATTAACCTGGATATAAATAGTGCATGTGTGTCAAGGAAGAAGCATAGTTATTACTATGATGCTATGAAAATAACAACAAGATATGGCAAGAATGATAGAGTAGGAAAGTTTCGATGGTTGTGACTATGAGAAAAGAGTATAAAGTAACTTACCTGGAGGACAGACGCAACCATCTGTACAATGATCTTCACAAAGTGCAGATCTTTCAGGGTTGCTGCAGGTATCAGAGCAGGGGGAGCCACATTCCTGATGTTGCATGTTGAAGGGACATGATTTGGCTGAAAGTAGAAAGAGTTATAATGCTGGCTTTTCCTTTGAAATGTTGATAAAACAGTATTTACTATCTAGGATGTTTTCCATCAAGATACAATGGAGAGCAACCAAGTGGAAGGTGCAAGATTTTAGATCTTCTGAAATATACTGAAAACCTTCAGTAATGCAATATCCCAACATTCTTGAATATGCTCAGAATAAAGCTGATTTCTTGAAAATTACATCCACTTTTAAATGGCTGTCTTCTTCAGGAAAAAAAAAAAAATCACGTATTTGAAGTTTACTAGATATAAATAGGGAACATAACTGAAAGTCTCTTCCAGAGATACTTACGGCACAATTCTGAGGTTCTCCAGTTCAGAGGCTGTCCACCAGCATGAGCACACTGCCGTGAGTATTCAGCAAAGGTGTTGCACATGCAAAAGTCAGCCATAGAGGTATCACAGTGGCATAAGTCTTGTATGCAAGTTTCAATGTAGTCCTGAACATCCACAAGTACATTACAGCTTGTGAATGCTTCACTGGTTAATACTGTCTTACAGATAGAAGCCTGGAAGGGAAAACAGTGAAAATAAAACAACTGTGTTAAGAAAATGTGAAAATGATAATTTCATTTAAGGCATGTAACAAAACAAGCCAAAGGTCCTTCTGGTCCAAAAACCTGTCCAGCAGTAACCATAATCAGATGTGAACTCATATAATTTTTTAGCCTTCACTTTAGCAAAGAATTGAAAAACCCGTTTTGGAAACATTTTCCTTCCAGACCCATGGCTGGGTTATATTCATGCTGTAGTTTTTCCTATCCTGACAGATATTCTCCAAAGAGAGAAAGGGATAATATATGCTGAACTGGAAAAATGAATTCTGAAAGAGAGATTCTTACAAATTCACTTGAGCAGTTCTTCAGAACAGCAGGAGGAATAGGGTCATCGCACTGCTCTGTGGGTCCATCTATCTTCTGCCTATTCCCAAACTGAACAGCAGTCAGTTTTGTATCTGTACAAAAACGTTAAAGTATTAGAATAATATTTACTTATTTATTGGCTTCTACATGGAGGTATTTTCTTCTGTGACACTACCCATTAAAAGCAGATACGCAAAGGCAAAAGGAGATGAAACAGGTATATCAAGGACAGGAGACTAACTACTGAAAAAAGAAGGAAGTTAACATGTGGCTGGTTTTAAAAGATGCAACAGTGATGGAAACAGCCTAATGCAACGGAAAGCCCTGACTCTGTTACTTAAGTATTACAAGTGACATCATAAAAATATATACCGAAAAAAGTATCCCTGGTTTTGCAGTTAATACAACCCACAACCTCTGTGACTGTATAAGGCTAAAACAAAGAAAAACAAAGTGCCAATACTTAATAATGCTTTTTATTACTTACTCTGTGAAATAAACTCATTATTGGTTGGAATTCCATTGAAGTCCCCACACAGTCCACAAGTTTGATTGGCATATTTCTTATCCAGTTCCACCTAAAATAAATGAGGAAAGCAAGTTTAGGCTCACAGCAACGTCAGCCCTGCTGGTTAGAAACCCAGCCTACACCAATATTTCTTATGTACACAAAATTTGACATATGTGTGCTGTGCAGGCTGTGAGATGTGGTAGGCACCATTGGTAAGGTCAAAAACATCCAAGAAAAGCTTAGTCTTAGTCTAGCACTGGGACTGTGAACATTTGTGAGCATTGTGAGCATTGCCAGGTCTGGAATCTGGGATTAGTCCATTGTGATGTGGGGACATTATAATATGGGGCTATATTGACTCTGAACAGAACTCATTGGGAAAAAAATAATAAAGGAAAACTAGGAGAAGACTGGAATATAGCCCAGTACACTAAAAATTAGTACAGAAGCCTAAGTAACTAATGTCTGCATGACTGATTAAGATTACAAAGATGTCAATGGACTACTTTCAAAATACTACCTAACTGCCATGGTTTGGATGTTTTCTTACCAGGAGGGCATCCTCTTCATTCCAAAGGAAGGTCAGTCCTAACTTGGCAGAAACTTTCAGATAGCTGTTGCTTCTCTCTACCAAGACTCCCATATGGTTGTAGGGCATCTGAACCCTGGGGAAAGATCACTATAATTCAGTGGGGGTAGGGACAGAATATCCACATTGATACCCATTCTTGCTCTCTTTGAGAAGCTTCAACATGCAAAGATGAGAAAATTAGTCAGTGCAATAACTAAATGCAAACAATACACATTTGTAACATTTTAGCTGTTTTGATTGCTTCTTTGTGTACAAATTGATCAGCCTTGCTTTCCCTGTTGTTCCTTTTGGCTATTTCTGTTAGTTGTGTTTTTGTAGGTGAAATGTTGGCATGTCTTCAGTTATATTGTTCAAAAACGTTCTGGGAAGTTCTGTTTTGCAGGCATTATGCTTCATGATATTACTATTTATTCCTTAAAGCTCTTGATAATAAAGAGATACTCTTCGTGCTTTCTGTGGCATGAGTGCCATTCACAAAGATGTACTCCAGATAGCCTTTCTACTAGCTTGCCATATATAGCTGCTGTAATACATATATCATTGTGGCATAGCTGTCCAAATATTTACCCAAACTTTTGGACAAGTTTCACACCCTTTGCCAAAATCAATGCTATCATTACTACATAGATAGGAAGTTCCCAGACTAGCTTGTTTAAAATGAGCCCAGGTGCAAGCTACAGTTGCAGTGTGCTTAACTGCACAGTCTTCAGAGCAAGGACAAGAACAGTCAGAAATTCATTGCAGGGCTCCTGTTCATGTGAAGTTAATGGAAAGTAGAAACTTAAAGGGTGTAAAAGCCTAACACTTTGACTAAATCCAACTTATACATTTGATTGTATATATATTTATATATATATGTTTATACTAGAGGGGGACAGCATCTGGGTTACAGATCATCTGAATAAAATGAACACAAGAATAATCTGTAGAAATGACAGCTCACTGTCAGACCCTCTTATTTTTGCTGGGGCCTCAGGAAGGACATGAGTCCTACAGCTGCGTGGGAGCAATAAGAGATGAGATGAAAGAAAGGGATGCTTGCTCAAAGAGCCTTCTGAGAACAAGGGCAGTCATGGCAATTTCAGTTCATAGCAGAAGATATGAACATACTGTTGGCCATTGACCAGGACGGATGTGCGGGTCAGTTCAACCACTGCTCCTTCCAGCTTCATGATGACGTGGGTGATCATGGTAGCATTTTCCACCATTGTACGCCTAATCTGGATGTTGAAATCCTCATAGGAAGATTTGCAGTTGGATGCAAAGATGTAATTGCAGACCCCAGGGAAATAAAAGATGTCCCCGTCGAAGTTCTTGAAGTGGAAGTTACCCCATGTGCTGCACACACGGCCATTGTGAGAGGGGTTGCCAGCTGTGGATTCAAAATGAGCCATAAGAATTTTCTGCAATTTGCCATAGATACCCTCCTCTTAGGTTGCCAAGATAAGGTATCTCACCAATATTTTGAGCACATTATCGTTTCCCTTTCTTTACTGGAAATAGTGTGCATGATTTATCCAAGTATTACATTTGTTCTGTTTTTTTTTTCAGCCTCATCATATTAACAATATACAAGCTGAGCATCAAGCCACATATAGATTATCATTATTTGATGAACTGACTACTTTTCTTGTTCATTTTATATTCTATGAGGCTAAAAGATCTTACACAATTTACCAATCTGTTCAGTTCACTCCATATTCTTTCTGCCTGTTTGATCAACAAATATATATCTGAGCCATGACATTTGTTGAACTTACCCTTTACGTTCAGTGTGTTTTGAAGAGGTGGAATGATTGTCAATCCATGGGATTTAGTACCCAGTGAAAGACCTATGAGGAGAAAAACAATCAAGTTTAATCTCATAAGAAGTCCTAAAATATGGCTAGAGGTTGCTTAGTTTCTTTAGTGATTAATATTTCCTAGTACTAGTTACTCCCTAGGAAGAATTTCCACAAGGATTTATAGATGTATTTTAAACAGCGCTTTGTGTTCTGTCTTTCCATGTGTCTTTCCACTAAGAGCCAAATCCCAAAGACCTCTTTGGCTGTAGTTCTTTTTTCCATTATTTGTTCAAGACTCCCACCTGTTGCAGGCCCTGCATCTGAACTCAAGAGCTGCAATCTAATCCTTCGACTGCTGTGTTGTAATAGAGGTGGGGAAAATGCTAATGTCTTTGTCTGAACCTCTGCCTCTCAGTATACTTAGAAAGTTACAGAAGAATCTTAGAGGATAAGAAACCACAGCTTTTTTTTTTTCCCTTTTTTTTTTTTTTTCCCTGAAGCTTGTATCTTTCTCTGTGCTGAGTCATGCAACTTTGCACAACCAACTGCAAGCAGATTTTTTTTTAGAAAATGCCATTTAAAGTTTGCAAAACTTTAGTCATGTACTCCTCATGGAAAGACTTCTATTTGTAAGTTACAGCCCTAAATTTTCTATGTCCAAATCCAATGTTTTCTCTTGAGATCCAGCTATGAAGCAGAGAGAATACTTAGAAAACCTGTTATGCATTTTCTTTACATGAGAGTTTGAGGACTTGCTACAGTTTTCTCCTTTGAAAGAATCAAAATTGAAAGTATCAAAATATCATTCAATAACTTCCAAACTGTAGACTGTGGATTATTAACCATTGACTTCTCCATTTAGATCAAAACATATCACTAAGACAAATACATGTTTTAGGAAGACAATTTGGTTAAGTCTTGATGTAAGAATTTGAATTGTAAACATACATACTACCTTACTTTACAATCTATTCCAATAATTAAATGCACACTTATTAAATAATTAGAGGTATACTTCCAGTTTGGGTGTACCACTGTTTTAATTGCCAGCTAGTGACTTCACAAATTGCAGTTTGCATTGCAGTCTAAATGATTAATTATTTCAGCCTTTCATCAGTAATATACCAGTAGGCGTTTTATCCTTCCACCCTTATTTTGCTGTGTACTGTTAGTGTGTTACAGTATGTGTCATAAAACTGTTTTTTATACATGATTATTTAGTGCTTAATCATTCTAATGTTTAAGGTAGTTACAGTTCTGTTATTCTCACTTGTGAGTTATGTGGTCATATTTACAAAGAATAAAAAATGTATGTTTTATTACCTACTATAAGGTATCTTGATGATATGTATGTATACACACGCCCTTCTGAAAATACACTTTTAGATAGATGGTATGTACCTTTCATAAAGTTAAAGATTAGATAACTGTATCACATCAGTAGACCAGATCTACTGGGACAGATCTCAGAGGAATTTCTCACTGGGACTTGGATATATCGTACACAGGTTTTCTCTCTCTCTCTCTGTCTCTCTCTCTCTCTATATATATATAAATATATATATTTGTAAAAGGAATGGATGTTCTAGGAATATTCTTTATCAGTTTAATTTAGGGCAAAATATTAGAAATATCTCAGAATAAAATTACTTACTGTTTTTTCTCTGCAGGAAGGATAGAGAATCATAGTTTGATTGTGATTGTTGTTCTTCGCCCTGGACTTGAACTGTATAAAGGGAAGTAGAAGAGTAAAATGTAAATGTTTAATTTGTATGAGTTTCTTCATCATTTTTTCCATTATATTTGTTTAAACTTGCAAAGTCAGTATATGAAAAATTGGCAAAGCTATGTTCATGAAGGTCAGACTTATATCAGAACTTGTACTACATGCAACCATGATGGCCACATACCATTCCTTGAGCTATTTGTTTTTTCAGTAGGCTAATAAATTATTGAAAGGAAGCCATTAAAAGTGTGTCAGTGAGAATTTCAGCAGATCCTTATTCTGTTTTTGTCATAATAGCCCCTGGATGCTCTTATATACTTTTCAGACAGAAGAACCCCTTTTTTTAACTATAAGAGTGATCTTTGTCGTCTCTTATGCAAAGCCAAAGTTACTCTATATTTTATGGTTTCATGCACTATTTATAATAAACAGCAGAAGAAAAATAAACCCAAAAGTCACACAGAAAGAAATGGGCCTTTCCAATAGATACACTCCTGATTTTGCCCCAAAGCAGAACTTGTGTTTCCAGTGGTGAAATCATTCTTTGTCCATTCCACTTCAGCTTCATAATAGGAATACACACAAAATCTGCAGGGCCAAGGAGGACTTTTAATGCACGGCTTGTTGAGAGTTCATCAGATACAGGGCAGGTTGCAGGGGAGGCCATGCCAGCTGGAGAAAACCCAGATGGCAGGCTGACTGTCTGCTGCATCCCACAACAGGGCAGTCCATGGGTAGCACCGCTAGAGGAGCTAGTGCTGAAATTAGAGCTGCAGGGAGCTCCATAAATCCCTTTCTTCTTGCACCAACTGGACATCTGCAGCTGGCATTGGAAGGACACATTGTGCCCCTTCTGGAGATGTGAACCATTCTGAGTTCCCCTCCTCTTGTATCTATTCTCAGAGAGTTTTTTGCTTCTTTTTTCATGCATGGTATGGCTTCAACACTATGCCTGGTGCCACATTCATCCCAGATTCCCATTCCATTACCGTTTCATTGCATGGTATGATAATGCTACAGCTAGCCTTCTGATGAACTGATCTTAGCACTAGTTTTTACCATAAGTTAGTGTAGAATTAGCTGGAAGTAGGAAAAAATAACTCAATTGGATCCGCATCTGAGATCAAAACACACTAAAAAAAACAAACAAACAAACAAAAAAAACCACTAAAACACACTAAAAACTAATGTTTCTGTCACCTTAAACCTTAAGGGAAATTAACAGGAGGAATATGAGTAAAAAAACCTTTCTACCCATCTGTGAGAATTAAGTGTCCTTTTATAATGCTTAAAGCAGATCCATTTATTTTCACTCCCTCAATAAACATGCCTGTGCTCTAATCTTTTGTAGAATCTCATGTGCGAGGACAAATTAACTTTTTAAATCTAATGTCCAACGTTTTTCAGGCAAAATACGTAGTGTATCATGAGCTGATAAAATTAAACAAAAAAATCTTTAATAATGCTGACTCCACTGGTTTGTTCATTCTTAAATGTATTTTTGCCCCTTTTGGCTTGTGCTTTTACACATGCTGTACTTTCAAATGTGGACATCAAAAACTAAATGCCAATCTTGAGGCACAGCGGTAGAAATAAGAATTATGCCTGATTTCAAATGTAGAAAATACATTAAGAATATCAAGTACGTTATGAAGTTTGAAGATAATTATTTTCCTCTTCTTAGGAAAGAAAGTATTTGTAACAGAAAATAAAATCTTGCATAAAGGTAAAAGGTTCAGTAGCTCCACAAAGCCAAGAAAAAAGGTTTCAAACTCTGACGCAGGCAATAAATTCTTTGAAACTGTAAAAATGCCAAGCAAATAAATCCTCCTACCTTTGGTCTGTGTAAAGGCAAGTGCTAGTATTGATATCCATAGTGGTATTCGCGTCCCACTACCTGTGCCCATCTTCTGGAAGTCCGGTAGAAACTACCGAACAACCTGCCTCTGAGAAAATACCTGTCTGCTCCTGAGTTTTATATAGCGAGAGAGCAAGTTTTGGCTCAGTTCCCAGATTGTTTCACAAGGTTCTTAAAAGGTGGGGCTTCAGATGTTTTACTTTTCCTTTGCAGGTGTACAGGTAAATAGAGGATGCTCTGACTTTCCTAAGGTATTTGCACTCTAGGAGGAGTCTTCTTTCTACAAGTCCTTAATGTCAAGAGGTGAGCAGGAAGAATTTTTGCTCAGAATTAGTCCTCCAAAATTGTTAATATTATGTGATAAATATAATTTAAGGGACTTTTGAGTAACTTGTGAGTGGGACCTTGGAATGAATGGCTTCACATGTTTTTAGTTTCCTCCTTATAGTTAAAGATAGCAACTTCTCAAAAACAAAAAAAAAGAAAACAAACAACAACAACAAAAACAACAACAACAACAATAAAAACAGAAAAAAAAAAAACACAAAGAAACAAAAAACAACACCAAACACACAAAAAAAACAAGGAAGCTCCATCTGACATAGATTTTTAATGAGTTTGCATCTGTGTATGAAGCTACTTTGCCTGTGAAAATGGAAAAGATCAAAGGCCGTCTAAGGTAATATGGACCCTTCCTTAAAGGTTCCTTTCTTTTCATATGTGCAATTTTAGTGCTAGATCAGCAGTTTCCCTTCTGAGTAAACATGGCTTCGACTAAAATTGATTCTATCTACAATTAATATATATATTTATATATATATGTATATACTTTTAATTTACAGGAATGTCCTTTGGAATGTTCATTATCTTGAGCAATGAGAGTGAATGATGTTTTTTGAATGATGTTTTATTGAAACATTAATTTAAATATATGTTGCTATAATGAATTAAACATTTAAAGTGTATTACCCTGGGCTGTATAGAAACAGTCTTTCAGAAGAAGGATGAATTGAAAGTTCCTGCAAGGCAGTAAGTACTAAGATAATTTCCATATTCACTGAGAACAGGACAAGATGTAATTAGATGTAAAACCAGGAAAATCTTTTAGGTTAGACAATGAGGACAAAAAAAATCTTTTTACGGGTATGGTGAAGTACTTATATAGGTTGCCTGAGAATACTGTTGAATTTCCATCACTGGTGGTTTTCAAGAACAGGTTAGACAGACACCTGCCTGAGGATGGTGTAAGTGTAGCTGATAGTGCCCTGAGGCAGGGGAATGGACTAAATGGCCATTTTAGATTCCTTTGAACTCGATTTTCTATGATTTTTCTGAAAATAACTAAATAAAATTGGAAACATTGAGGAAAAAAATTGTCCGCTTTCAGTCGTGCATACCTCTGACAACTTTACTGACATATAAATCAATGTAGAATTAACCTTAGTATTATCTGAATGAGGAAAAGAAGGTGACTACAGGATAGTTATATGTAAAGAAATATATGCAGTGCAAAATTAAGGTAAATGTTACCATTTTGTTTAGTATCAAGGTACCAAGATGAAGAGCTAAAAATGAAAAATGTTAACAGAGGTAACTGGTGCTCAGGTAAAGTCATGATGAAAGAGGTAAGGTAAACTCAGCTGGGTAACACGTAAGTTTATTAAGTGATTCTGATGAAGTAATGCAACTTCATGCTAGTGAGAGGAAAATATGCTTTATGAATCATTACATTGCTTACCACTGAAAAATCAATTCATATCAACAGTTGCTATGCTGTGGTTTCAAATACACAAGTTAACATTTCCTGCACAGTCAGGGAAGTACCATGACCTCTCAAAGGTCCCAGGTTGCTCACTGCTGATGATTCCCTTTGTATGGCCATCATAAATTAGGCTGAAACAAATTTACGCTTAAATTTTATTCCTTTGACCTTTAAGGCACCATCAAAAGTGGTTCCGTATGTCTGCATTTTTTTGTTGAAAGTCTCAAATCTCTTATATGTCATGGATCATATTATTCTTACACTCCTAAATGGTTACTTCATTGATTAATCCTTTTGCCAAGTTAATTCATTACCTTATTTGGGTCTTTTCAGAAATGACCATGAAATATATCAGAATATATGAGTCTTGTGAAAATAATTTCCAAATATTTATGATAATTTAATTTTGTAGTATTACAAATTATTGATAGAAATTCTTCCTTTTTAAGTTTTATTTCATCTCCATTCACTCAAGAGACCTACACAGGCAACATGGAAGATAATTTTTTTAATTGGTTTGGGGTAACATGTCCAAATTTGTATACTTGTTTATGATCAAATCTGTGTACAGTGAACTGCATAAGCAGAAGTGTTAATAGCTAAGGATAATTTATTGATGCATGTTATTGTTTTTTATCAGAAAAGATGAAATATTCTGATAATGACATCTTCTCTTTCTTTTTCACAGGATCATATCCCTACTCTACATCTGCAGTATTCAGCTGAACAAGAACATTTCAGTAGAAGAGTTGCTTGCACTTTCAGATGCATCCTTTTTAATCCTTTATGATCAAACATTCCACAGTAATGATGTTCCTCATGCATCTTACTTAAGATTTCTGAATCTGATTCTTTGAAAGAATAAATGAGACCATCATATCTTATTTTCATACATCCTCTCTATTGAATGCAAATAAAATTTCCTAGCAAATTTGTCTAGCTTTGGGGTGCACTAATGATTTAAATTAGTGTCTCCATTTTTATTCTAACAGATGGAATGATTGACTCATAGTTAGATGCAGGATTGTAAGGGATTTCTTGCTAATATCTAATCTAAATTAATGCTCTTTTATTATAAAACTAGAATGCTGTGTCATCTGGTAGATTTTGTGCCACTGATCACAACACTTTGAGCCTGGCTGTTGAGCCACATTTCCATGAACCTTTTTGTCCACTTATACAGTTCAAATCTCATCAGTTTAAGGGAACTACAGGAGCCTTAGTCCAATGAGTTGAAGAAAAGGAGACAGCAATTTTCTATAAATACAGGGTCAGACTGGAAGAAGAGCTTTTATTTACTTAATTTCTTTGCCTTTGATAACACATATGAAGGCTGAAATACCTAAAGTTGGAATAACTTCATTTTAGAGAGTAGGACGAAATCATTTGTGATTGATTGAAACTGTGGTACTTCCTCTGTGCTAGCTCTAAAATGCAAGAGATCATCAACAATGGTCTGTCTGCTGGACTCTTTTCTGTCTGGCCATTAGCCCAGCACTGAGGTTGAGTTCTTGCTCCAGAATCAGTGCTGGGGCATGAGGCTTTGCATTCAGCTGAAGAAGGATTCCAACTGTCCCTGATTTTTTAATCTGCTCAGATTCAAACACAAGCTTTAATCAGAAAATATCCAAGGGAATGTAAGGCTACCGATCAGTTTCTACTCAAAAGTTGTACATTAACTTTTCAGGTCTTATTCTCTTAATTATATGATGATGAACTGCATTTCGAACAGTTGCAGTAGATATTTTATAGTACGATATGATACGGTCTATCTAAAGTAAAGCTATAGTTAAAGACTACAATAGGGATAAAATTCTTTTGTGTCCTTTGCTAGATCTTAGTAAAATATGGTGTCACTGATCCATTCATTTGCTTCCAAATGCTTAGATAAAACTCATTGGGTTGAAAATTGGATGTTAATAACTGAAATTTGAAACCCCATTTCATTAACATGAGTAGTTCTCCTATATAACATTGCAAACTTTTCAGAACTGTTGCTGTCTTTGGGTGTGTACATTCTAAAGGACCAAGCACATAATGCTCTGATATTCACTGCAGCCTCTGTGCTTTATTGTAAAATAGATAATGCATAATATGAATAGTTTCTATTTTGGTTTCTATTTATATTATCTGTCCATTTCAAAGGTTGCAGTGTCAATTAGAAGAACCCAAGCAAAGTGGAACAAGTGAAATCAGGCATTGACAGCTGTCTAGCTACAACTTAAGACCCTAGTTTACACCAGCATAACAAGAAAGTAAAACACAGTGAATATCTCTCATTTTATTTACCAGATTTCCTTTGGGAAAAAATTCAGCCACAGAAAATCTTACAGTTCTCTATTAGGAAATTCCTCCTATTTAAGGTTGGTAAAAAGCATTTTTAAGTATCGTATTTCAAATATACCCATGCTCTTATAGTAACAAAACTTTTCTTGTGAAAGATCTGAAATGCCATGACTGATGTGACTGTCAAGTGGACAATAGTGTTAGTATTAGCACAGTAATGTGACATTACCACAAGTTCACAGAGTAACCTTGTTGGTAACTGGTAGAGGTGTTTTTCCTGCAATAAAACATTCAGAGGTTGAACAGTATTGTTTTAGCCCCAGCCTTCCTTTACACCTTCTCTGTAAGTCCAGTGCCAAATTTCAGGTTGTCCCAGGATTTTTGCATATAGAATAACCCTTTTAGTGACTGGCTGCTTCTGAAAACTGTCTCTTCACATCAGCTCTACCTGCAGTTGATGCTGCTTTGCTTTCTTCCCTTCCTCTTTTCTTCTTCTTCCAATATATTTTATCTTCCTTTTCTTGACATACACGCTCTCCTAGTTTTCGCTTTCACTAAATTTGCCTTGCCTTCCTTCCTCTCCCACAGTGGAGAAAAGAGGTAAAGAGATGTCTTTCAGGAGCTTGGGACCTTCAGACTGGATATTAGGTAAAATTTATTGACTGAGAGGGTGGCTAAACACTGGAACAGGCTTCCTAGCGAGATTATTGATGCCCCATGCTTGTTGGTGTTCAAGAAGCATTTGGACAACATCCTCAATGAGATGCTTTAACTTTTGGTTAGCCCTGAAGTGGTCAGGCTTTTGGACCTGATGATCCCCATTCCATTCTATTCTCCTCCACAGCAAACAGCTTAGCACTTGCGTTTCTTGCTTTCAGTATAGTTGTGATGAAATGCAGAAATGCTTTTTTAAAACAGGCGAAGACCAAAAAAATATGTTATTTCTTTTCTGCAGAGACAAAGCACTTAGTTCCTTTTGTGGGCTTCTATTTTAAAACCAAGCTGCATTTATTGGCCTGGCTTGTTCCTTGAATCCACAATGCTGTTGAA